TTATTGAGCAAATATTTTGAAATTTAAATTTTACTTTTATTTAAATTTTAAATATTAGAATTTATACTTTGATTTTCTTTTAAACTATTAAATAATTATCATACCACAGCTGCTACTGATGGGATAAAAAATTATTTAAAGGATACTTATTAATGAGAATTCAAAGATATATTTTAACTGCATTGTAATTAAGAAATAAAAAATACATTTTGGAAGATAAGTTTGAAAAGTATATTTATTTCTTATGCATTCAGATTGAGAGTCATTTATATATAGGTTTAAAAAAAAACTTGCATTAAAACATTTGCAAACTGGTTTTCAAGAGGTAGAGAAGCGAATAATCTTTGGAAATGACCTAAGTGGAAATTAAGATGACCATATATATATATATATATATATATATATGTGCCATTCCAGGAGTTTTTTAGCACTTTTCGGAGTAACCTTTCCAAATTAAATGAAACATTTTTTTAATAATATTTATTAATATAAAGGTCCAAAAAAATCACTTTTTAAGTAAAAACAATTGTTTATTTAAAAAATACAACAATAAATAATGCAAAAAATTCACTTTTTTCCTGCAACTCCAAATAAATTGGTTTAAAGATCAAAATTTTCCTTATTTTTCAAGCTTTAATACCGCACAAGAAACATTGAGTCCGAGAAAATATTCAACACACAATTTTTTAAACAATGTTTGTTTACTTTTTTGTATTTTATTTACTGTGAAACGTCTGCTAAAGCTGCGCGCGACGTTTGGAAGTTGTCGCTTTCCTTATTGAGCAGAAGCTCATTACACTAGCGTAGTAAAAAACATGTTGTGTGGAAAGTGAGGTTTTTCATCCTTCAAAAATGTTTTTTATGATTTTTTACTGCAAAGTAGATAATTAAAAACCATTCAATGTGATAACCAGAAATTTTTACGTTTCATTTAATGACAACATAACCTCACTTTTCGCACAACATGCTTTCTACTACGCTAGTGTAATGAGCTTCTGCTCAATAAGGAAAGCGACAACTTCCAAACGTCGCGCGCAGCTTTAGCAGACGTTTCACAGTAAATAAAATACAAAAAAGTAAACAAACATTGTTTAAAAAATTGTGAGTTGAATATTTTCCCGGACTCAATGTTTCTTGTGCGGTATTAAAGCTTGAAAGATAAGGAAAATTTTGATCTTTAAACCAATTTATTTGGAGTTGCAGGAAAAAAGTGAATTTTTTGCATTATTTATTGTTGTATTTTTTAAATAAACAATTGTTTTTACTTAAAAAGTGATTTTCTTGGACCTTTATATTAATAAATATTATTAAAAAAATGTTTCATTTAATTTGGAAAGGTTACTCCGAAAAGTGCTAAAAAACTCCTGGAATGGCACATATATATTACTAAAAATTCATATAATACAGATTCTAATATACATATATCGAGAGAGGAACCGCACATTTATTTCGGATGCTAATTTTGTTTTTTATATATATAAGAGAGAAAGCAGCAGGGATAGAGAGAAATCTTTCATATATAACGTAATATCTTTCACTGTAAGAGATCAAAACAACATATTTACCACCTATAGTAGAATAATCGATAAATTTTGGAAGAGTAAAATTCATTATGCCCACGCATTTTGCAGACCGTTAAAAAGTTCAATGGCCAAGAATAAGAGTCACATTTATATATTATGTTTTCCCGAGAAATATATGTGTCTGAACTTTTAAATTATGTAATTGCAACTGACTTATTGTTCATGTAACAATTAACATAATCATTTAAGTCAAAAGCCATTAAAGTGATTAATAGAGTTGTTTAAAAAGATAGGTACATGTGATCTTGTTTCTTTTGCGGTTTCGGTTCATCTATGTTAAATGCCGTTAACTTTAAGGACTCGCGAAATTACACATAGTGTCATTAAATTCTTCCATTTCAAGTCAAAAGAAAATCTTATACCTAATAATAAAAATTTAAAGATTTTGATTAAATAAACAAATGAGAATTTGGTTAAATGTAAATTCTCTATCATTTATTTATTAGAAAAATTTTTTAATTCTAAAGATTTTTTACTATTCATTATGTGTTGTTTTTTTTTTTTTGATAAATTATTTAAAATAATAAATTTTATAGAAAAGAATTTAATATAAAACCTTTAAAATATATTAGTTGAAGGTTAAGACGATAATAATGTTCTTCTTCTATAAAATTTATTAATGTATTCTTATTGTGTGTTTTTTTATTATGCTAATAAATTAATAAATCAAATTCCAAAAAGTGATTTTTCATTACATATGTATATCGATATAATATATTTTAAAAAAGAATTTAATTTCTTTTGTCTTATTTTTATTATATTTTTTATCACATCCTACGCTAAACAAGACACTCCCTTGTGAGAGAGTGAAGTTTTATTGCACTACGTAATACCTATAGCAAGAAACGAGTATTTTTCTTCTTAATGATTTTAAATAGAGCCAGATTTTTATGCGTTTCCATTAAATTACTTATAAGAATGAATTCGTTATATATAATTATATTAAAAAAAATATATATATCTAAGAATTTTTCAGAAATATTCAATAATATTTTCACACTCTTTAAATATGAATTATGAAAATTTATTAACCATACTCGCTAAAATTTTGTTACTTTTTTTAAAAAAATGTCTAGAAAATTATTGCAAAATTCATTCAATTGAATTATACCTATATAAAAATGTAACTTTCAAATTATAAATTAGTTCATTATAATTGATTTTAGATAAAAGAAATCTTTCCATAAATTATATAAAATAGGGAAGGGATTAAATAAAAAACGACTCACCGATCGCTGAATCCCACGTCGGAACGATGGGTTATGGGCCACTCCTGGAGATCCCTCCCTCTTGAGTGCACTTCTGCGGAGACCAGGAGCTATGCTACCGTTTCAAAAAAAAAAACGGTAACATGCTGGGACCGCTTTTCTTCATCCATATCCTTCTTGTCCTTTATGTTGTTTTAGCACTGACTGAAAAAAGTTTAAAAATTATTAAATTGCACTTAGTACAAACTTAATCAATGTCAATTGGTAACATATATATTATCAACTTCGAGAACACTAGATTCGATCATTGAAAACTTTCAGATTCACTCAATCATATAGAAAAACTGAAAAAAATATATTTAATTATCAAATTTTAACATTAAACTATTTAAAAATTAAATTATTTTTAATAACTCAAAATAATTTTAATTTGACACACTAATATTATTCTTTAACTAAATTTAATTTATATTTATTAAATCAAAGTAAATTAACAAATTAACTTTTAGTAAAGTCCTTACGTACAAATATTAAAAATTTTATAATTACAAATTATTGCGTTACCTGCTTGTATCAATAACATGGTGGCAAACTTAATTTATGACTTAAAGAGTCAAAAATTTTTTTTAATCCAATCACATTGTATCTATATTAGATGATAAACTTTACAATTTGTGATCTACAATCCCAAAAATTTTTTAATAACCAACATCTCGTATATACATAGTGATAAACTTGCAATTTAGTATCTGTAATGCAAAAAATTTAAAAAAATTTATGTATGACCTATACACTTGGAAATTTTTTTTTTTTCTAACCAATACATAATGATGAACATGTGATTATGAAAAATACTATTGAAAAATTATAATTAAAAAACAAAATTCATATAGTGGGAAACTTGAAGCTTTATAGGTTTAATGCTTTTGATGAAAAATACACCAAAATTTTATGAAACTATATCTTAATAAGTATAACTTTACTATTTATAATTTTATGAAAAATAAGATATATTTTAGGGTTATTCGGATTTAATATTACAAATAACAAGATTTTCAGCAGTCCCGCAAAAATATCTCAAAATCTATTTTGGATGTAAAGTGCATGACAATAATGAACGGAAAAATAAACATCCAATCTTTTTACTTTTATATTTACTCTATAAGTGAATCGAAAGTAATAATTGCAAATTCCTTAAAGACGACTGAAACTGTTCTTCTTTTTTAAAATAATAATAAAATGTTGAATAAATTTTGATGATTCTGATTAATCGAAATGATATTCAATCGATTTCAATCTGAACTTTGAAGGTTATAAACCGGCTGTTGTGAAATCGCACCTAATTGTGACTTATTTATTGTATTATATGCTTAATTAAAATCTTAATGAGATACGCATGATGTCGACTTACCAAAATCCATTATTACTTAAATAGAAATTTCGATGAAATATGCAAATTTCAAACTATATTTTCTATAAATTTGCGGAATTAATTTTCACAGTTACTTTGAACAACAGATCACAACATACCATACAACCTGAAGTTTGCTGCGCATTTTATCGAAAATTGAAATTTGAATTTTCGTCGTCCATCAAAGAAGTTCGAAATTTGTTTCTCCCCAAAATTTTAATAAATTTATTAAATAAATATATAAATAGTATTAAAAAAAAGTAAATTTAACTGACAAAATTAAAACAGCATCCAATTATTTTTTCTTTATTTAAATCTATTTAGGAACTATTTTTTAATGACAAAATAAATATATACAATAATCTAACAAACAAAAGATAGAAAATATTTTTGTATAAATTTTTCTAACATGTAAATTATATTAAATTATATTTCTTAAAAAGAAACTTCTCAATTAGACATTGTTTTAAATTTGTTTAACTAATTTTACGCGTCGCTTTTATAAAATATTCAAAACCAAAAAAAAAACACCTCAAAATTAATAATTATACGTTTAATAAATAAACAATTAAAACAAATAAAAAATGTTTAGAAAAAATCAAATAAATTTGACAAATATTATTATGTTTATTTAACGTGAAGTTTAAATTTATTTTAAATAGGAAATTAATCTTTCACTATTTAATAAAATTGGCAAAAGATTATTTGGACTATATTATAAACAATTAAATTGTTAAAAGGGAAAATTGATGGGGGATAATATATGTATTAACTTATTGGTAAAAGATCCAAGTTCAATATTATTACAAAGACACTGTATTTATTGATTTACAATCTACATAGATTAAATCTAATTTATAAAAAATATCTAATTACATATTCACCTCATCAATTTATACTGACTTCCATTCAATGATTAATTATTGCTCATTCATAAGAATTAAAAGTAAATCTTATAAAAAAATATCTCTAATTCAAGTAACGAAAGTCGTGATCGTGCGATACATTAAAGAATAACTTGTATCATAAATACAAATATGGTCAGAAAACCAACGGGATTTACTTTGCACTTAAATAAACCATGAAGAAAAAAAATGTACACTAAATTATTTAAGTAACCATGAGACGAGGAGCGATACTCATAGCCATTAATTCTTGGAAAAGAAGTTTAGCAGCATAAGGAAGCCTGACTTGAGAGATTTGTGTCTTGTTTTTGCAGCCTCTACACTCGAAAGTGTTGTTTCTTAAGTTCGCAATGGCAATCAAACCGCAGAAATTACAAACGTGAATTCTGTACGGATCCGAAACTTCAAAAAGACGTTCGCGCAAAAATTGAGCTGCACCATGAGAAATTTGACAATCGCGTTCCATTTCACCAAAACGTAATCCTCCATCCCTAAAAATAGAATACAAATTTCAAATACGATTTTCATTTTGTTTTAAATAATATTTCATAAAAAGTGTAAAAAAAAAAAGAAACATAAAACAATGTTAGTGAAAAATATAAATTTTTAGTACTGACCTTGCCCTTCCTTCCATAGGTTGTCTGACTAAAATTTGAACTGGACCTCTTGCTCTGCTATGAATTTTGTCGTCCACCATGTGCTTCAAACGTTGATAATAAGTTGGACCCAAGAAAACTTGAGCGTTAATTTTTCTTCCAGTGTGACCATTGTACATAACTTCATTCCCTCTCAATTGATAACCATATTCTTGTAAAAGTGTCGAAATTTTTTGTACGTTAACTGCATCGTTAAATGGCGTAGCGTCACCAATTTCACCTAAAAAATTAAGGAATCAAATAAGAAAAATTTAAGAAAATTACAAACTTAGAAACTTTTAATAAAATGTCATTGAAATCTAAAACTTATTTTGTAATTTAAAATTTAATTTTCAAAATTTTAAATGAATAGAAATCTAATTTTCAGGATTCATAAAAAAAAAGATTTTTTAATACACACCCTTATTGGCGGAAACTTTTCCCTGAATACATTCAATCAAGTGACCAATTGTCATACGAGATGGAATAGCGTGAGGATTGATGATAATATCAGGTGTAAGTCCTTCGCATGAGAATGGCATGTCTTCTTGTCTGTATTGAATACCACAAGTTCCCTTTTGTCCATGACGAGAAGCAAATTTGTCTCCAATTTGTGGAATTCGGACACTTCGTACTCTGATTTTACAAAATTTGTAACCTTCACTGTTTAACGTCAACATCACTTGATCCACAATACCAGTTTCACTGTTACGCAGGAAAGTGGAAGCATCTCTCTTCGTAAAACGTTTTGTTGTGCTGTCCAACTGCAAAAAAAAAAACAATAATTAAACTATTTAATTTCTTTCAGCTATACAGTCTTTGCAGTAATTTCTGCAATGATTTTTCGTTCAATTTTTAGATTGAATTAAAAAAAAATTAACAATTTTTACACTCACCTCGTCATCAGTTTCAGGCAAAGTAATTGTCTTTCCAATGACCACATCATCTCCAGAGACACGAATTCCCGGCGCTATTATACCATCATCATCCAATTTATCATAAATTGCATTTCGCATTCCTTGGCACGTTTGTCGTGTAGGTTTCTCAAATTGTTCCTCTTGATCGTCCATACGTTTCGTTTCTGAATCTTTGTAAGATCGATAGAAAACGGATCTGAAAAATCCTCTTTCCACTGCACTTGCATTTAAAATGACACTGTCTTCCTGATTGTATCCAGTATAACATAAAATGGCAACAATACTATTGATTCCAGCCGGAAGTTCTCTAAATCTAAGATATTCCATAGATCGTGTCGTAACAAGTGGTTTATGTGGATAATATAAAACATGAGCAAGAGTATCCATCCGTACATGAAAATTTGTAATATAAACACCCATGGCTTGTTTACCCATAGCACTTTGATATGTATTTCTCGGACTTTGATTGTGATCAGGGAATGGAATAATTGAAGCGCAAACACCAAGAATCATCGCTGGATGAATTTCACAATGCGTATAAGTTGTACAGTAAGCATATTCCTTTTCCTGTCTTAAATCATCGGGTGACATTGCAATCATGACAGTTTCTTCTTCCAATGTATCGATATATTCAACAACGCCACTTGACACCAAAGCTTGCCAACCATCGTATTCCTTTTCCTTCAACATTTCAATGTGCGATTGTCTCAATACAAGATTTTGTCCATTCACAATTAACAGAGGCCTACAAATTCGTCCAGCATCGGTGTAAATTCGAATTTCTCTGTCCCTGATATCTCTAATCATTGATACCTCTGATACAATGACGTCCATCTCTCTTCTCAATTTTCTCAAAGTAGCCATAAGATGATCAGGCTCTCGATGAATTCCAACCCAGCATCCATTTACAAAAATCTTAGTCGCGTCTGCAATTGCACTCGATGCAATTTCCTCCAAATTCTCCATGGACCATTCCTCCAAGAACTCTAAAATCGGTGATGGTTGAGAACCGACACTAATATATGCCATTAAAGCTAAATTCTTGACAAGACCAACGGCAGCACCTTCTGGAGTTTCTGCTGGACACAACATTCCCCACAATGTATTGTGAAGCTGACGTGGTTTTGCTAATTTACCATCACGTCCAATTGGTGAATTAACTCTTCTCAAATGGGATAATGTCGAGGCGAATGTCAATCTATTCAACACTTGAGAGACACCGGCTCTTGCCAAATGGGCTTTCTTTTGATCACCCCAATTTCCAGTGGCCAATGAATATCTTAAACCATCTGTTATTGTTTTAGTCTTAATGGCAAGTTCGAGATTAAAATCTTTTCCCCTGTCAATGAATTTCTGTGCGTACATTCGAACTTCTTTCATGAGATTTTTAAATAAACCACGGAATAGAAGAGCGAGCAATGGACCTGCAAGATCTAAACGTTTATTACCGTAGTGATCACGATCGTCAAGTTCACGTCTACCAAGAGCGGCTGACAAAAGTCTATGCACCATATAACCAAGAAAGTAAACTTTCTTTGTTTCACAAAAATCACTAACACCAACGTGAGGTAACATTTCTTTTTGGAGAATTTCTCTAGCGTATTTAATACGATTTTCTTTTTTCACACCTGCTTTTGCACCTCGAGCGCCAATAAAATCTAAAGCGACATTCTGCTCTTGAATGGAGAATGCCTCGTCAAGAGATGGTTTCACCATTTCCATCATTTCGGGATCATCGAAATCATAAATAATGTGTTCCAAAATATCGCGATCTGCTACAAAAGCAAACGCACGAAATACAATCATCACGGGAATTTCTTGTTTAACGTATGGGATGATCGCTATTATTCGTTGTCCAATTGTTGATTTCTTGATGCTCTAGATTGACAGAAAATTATTAATTTATTTTTAAAATAATAAACTTTCTAGAAGGAAATATTGTCAATACTAACCGTAGCGCTTTTAGCCATTAAATTAATCCAAAGGGTAGATGTTGGTCGAGAACTGTGTTCCAAGCAAGAACGAATTTCCGCTTTGTAAGCATATTTTCCATCTTTCATGCTAAATACATAGACTGTGTTTGTTGCCATTTTCTCTTGTGCAATAAGAACCTAGAAAATGTACATTTTTCTTGTATATATCGTTCGTGAGTTAATTAATACAGTGATTTTATTGTCAATTAATTACCTTTTCTGATCCATTAATAATAAAATATCCACCAGGATCCAAAGGACATTCGTTCAATTCAGTCAAGTCACGATCCACTAAATTATTGAGTAAACAATACTTTGATCTCAACATGATTGGCATTTTTCCAATAAATGCCTTTTGAAGCTGAGATTCTGTTAAAAAAAAAAAAAAGAAAGAAAAGAAAGACAATATTATACAATAGAAATTTTAATCTAATTATAATTTTTAATAAAAATCAGCTATATTTTTAATAATATATTACACTTACTGGTTGCATCATCTTTGGATTCCTTATCTTTCGCCACACTTTTTGTAATATCAACGTACAAAGGAGCAGAATAAGTTAAATTTCGAAGTCTGGCTTCATTAGGCATCATAGGTGATGGAGCACCATCTTTTTCCCAGTGAGTGGGTTTCGATAAATAAATTTGTTCGAATTTTAATATATGAATTGCGGTTTTTTCTACTTCTCCTGCATGATGTTGAGCTTCAGCTTGTAATTCTATTTGTTGTGAATCTTCAACAATTCTTTGAATGGTCATCTCAATAAATTCATCGAAACTGTCCAATTGCTGTCGTACAAGACCTTTCTCATTGAAATAGGCATTAATAACGATCCAGCAGGCCTCCTGCCACAGTTTCGAGGAAATTTCTTCATCCTCAGTCTGCTCGGCATTCACTAAATAAAAAAAAATTGTATTCAATAAGAACTGTGAAATAATAATAATAATAGTAATGAAATATAACAATATCATATATATATTTTTTGACACAATTGACTAACGATTGTAAAAACAAAATGAAACAAAGTAGTAAGACATCTATTAGCTTCAAGCATTAAACGTCAAAATACATTCTTTATTTTAAATTAAAAGTATAATACCAAAAGAAAATATAAATTACATACATAGAAGAGAAAAGAAAGAAAATTTGAAGAAATTTAAATTAATAATTGAGGCAAGCAATTAAGAAGCATAGTATTGAAAGTAACATTAGGTTAGGACATTTGTAACGCTTCTTTTGCTATAATTATTTGCATTCATTGAAATAGTTTTTGTGGAACTGGCCACAACCGGTGCATTCGTCATAAACCCGGTGTATCTACCCTAAACTTTGAAGAATTTAACTTTGTTTAAAATAAATTGAATATCAAGAGAATATATAAACATAATATAATATTCGAATAATTAATATACTAAAGGAATTGAAACTATTTTTTTTTTTAATTATTCGTTTCGAATTCACTCCATAAAAAAGAAACATATCTCACGTGAAGCTTTTTCGACACGAAAATTGTATTTTAAAATTTTACACCATTTTTTTTATAAAGGAAATTCAATTACCGCTTTCCACAATTGTCCATATTTGAATAGGATCTAATATTCATTTATTATTAAAATTAATTAAAAAAATAAGAAATACGTCAAAAGCAATATTTTTTAGGTTAGCTTTCGTTTCAGCAGAAAATACACTGTTACTACTACAATAAATAACAAAATTATTAATCAGTTTAATGAAACTTACCCTCCTCTTCCTCGTACATTGTGTATTATTTTTAAAAACTAAACTATTAAATTTAATAACTTTATTAAGATAAATTAAATACAACGTAAATCAGAACTGTTTTCAGTTTTTAGTTGCATTGCATTACTATTATTATTATTATTTAAAATGGCGGTTTTCTACTTTACGCATGCGTATTTAACTGTGTGACGCGCAAGTAGAAAAGCGCCAAACTTTAAAAAGAAAATATTTAAAATATAAAAAATGAGATCTCTTTAAAAATGATTAAAAGTTAACAAACCCTTTATTAAATAATAATAATTGATACAATTTATTTTTTAAATAAATCTTAGTAATTGCTAAAATATATTATAATACAACGTCGAAATTCGTAAAAAAAAAATGCTTATTTATAAAATTCATAGTCTTTACGAATTTCTTTATCAGGTGTTTCATTTTAATATAATTTTCTAATAAAAAGAAGGATTTTATTTACATTAACACGATGTACACCTATTCAAATTCGATATTATCTACAACTTATACTGTTCCAAATTGTACAAAAAATAATGAAGAAGAATCTTTAAATAAACATAATCGGTATTTCGTGGAAACAGTGAAAGAATTAGATACATTTAATATAATTAAAATTTCTAAAAATAAATTAGACAGAATATTGCAAAATGAAGTCACAATGAAAATGTGTCATAAATCATCATTTCAAAAAAATATTTCAAGTTCAAGAAGACATGAACATTTAAACTTGAAGAAAGATTGGGATCGGATCCCACAAGAGGTGATCAATCAAAATAATAAATAATTAAACTAATTGCTTACTCTCGGCAGTTACAACAATTACATTTTAATTAATTTTAATTTAGGTAAGAGATGAAGTTTTGAAGTTTTCAAATCAAAAAAAAATTAAAAAATGCGAAAATACTTGTCCTTGTAAATGCACTCAGGAATTAATTCAATTATATCACAATGCACAATTGCTTCGAGAGAAAGCCGAAAAATTGGAATTAATTGAAAATAAAGACAGATTTGAAATCAATAAAGTAGTAGAAAAGTTAGAAATAAATGACAGTCATGAAAAATCGGAAATAAATAAAAATAACAATAACGATTATTACAAAAACATTTCAATTTCTAATGTCTTAATGACAAAAATGAATGATAAAAATTTTAATGCAAATGAATTGAGAAATTTTTCTGAGAAGGTAACAGAAAAATTAAAAATTCATGCAGAATCAAATTTTCGAAATGAAAATTACTTCACAGAATTGAAGAAAAAAGTTCAACAGATAGAAAAAATTATTGAAAATTTTCAACCCCAGGGAAAAATATTTGAATTAAAAAATGAGCAACAAACAATAGACGTAGCCTTGATGAATCAATCACTATTTTTAGAAGAAAATGACTTGTGTAAATTTGAAAAAAAAATTCAAACAATATTAAAATGCAAAGAAGAATGGATAAAAGAAGATGAATCTTATGATCTAGAAAGAACCAAAGCGAGACGAATTGAAACTCTACTCGTTTTAAAATCTATAAATCTAATGGAAAATTATATCGATGAATTAAAATTTCAAATACAATAAATTACATTATGAAATATAAAGAGATTTTCAAAACAAATAATTATATAATGAAAAAATTTAACGAACAATTAAATCATGTTAGATCAATTATTAATTTGTACATATAATAAATTCGACCAAAAAATAAAAAATTTTCAAAACAAAATTAAATAAAAAATGTTGTCTAGTTTTTAGAAAACTTACAAATCAGTATCATTTAAAAGATCATCGATGCCAAAACTAAATTTCTTGCCAGGCGTCACAATGAAATCTGGAGTCGAAGTTCGCGCAATATCCTGTTTTCCAAATTCTTTCAATCTTTCATGAAGCGGTTTACAATTTGAAATTAATAAATCAAATTCATCTATTGATTCATCTTTGTCAGTGCATTTTAGCTTCTCCAGAGGGATATTTATTGATTTTCGAATTCGTCGCTCTTCTTTAGTAATTTTCACTTCAGGACTTTCAAAATTTCGTGAACATTCACTTGAAAAATCAAACATATCAGATTCATCCGTAAATTCATTTTCATCTGGAATTATTCTTCTAATATTATCATTATCAGATTTTTGAAAATTTTCCATGTTTTCCTCATTACAATTTTCATTGTCAATTTCTTCATTCACAATGACATTTTTATTTTTCTTCTCTTTATGAGAAAATTGAAAACAATTTTGTTTATAATCTAAAATTTGAATATCATCTTTTTCATTTTCTTCGTAACTAAAATTTTGCCTGTCAGTTTCTTCAATTTCTTTATTATTATCATCATCATTAGTTCTATTAATAGAAATTTTTGTACTTCTTATATTATCCTTGGATCGTTGAACAATTGGAAGAAGTTCTAATAATGAATTTTCAACGTCTACGTGATCCGTTGATTCGTTTTCTTCGGGTTTAAATTTCGATAAATTGAAAACATTAACTGATACATTATTTTCGTTTTCATTGTTTTGAAAATTCTTATTTGAATGGTGAGCAAATCGAAGACGCTCCAAAGATGAATTAAGAGAATCGATATCATCTTCAAAATTGTTTTTATCATCATTTTTGGAAACAGAGACATTTACAATGTCAGACGCACTAGAAACGGAATTTTTAATGTCCTTTATTAGATTTTGAACATGTAATGTGCGTTCGAGAGAAAAATGCGTATGATTTTTGTTTTTCATTGAATCTTTGCTGTTCACTTTCTTCACAGAATCTTTTTTAACATTTGTTTTTTCTCCAAAATCTTGGCGATTTATTGTTTTCAAAATAATTTTTGAATCATTTTTTTCTAATGTTTTAACTTTAGATACATCTGGGACAATCGAATTTTCAGGATTCTCAGTATCTTTAAATAGTTCTTGACCAAACAAAAAACGTTCCACTGAGGCATTAATGCGATCAAATCTATCCATGGAATCATCTTGATCGTAAGATTTACTATTCAATAGATTGGAAATATGCACTGATTGTTTAAAACAATTTTCTGATATCTTATAATTTGTTTGAGGTTCTGGAGACTTTTCTTTCTCAAAAGTGAAATTGACAAGGTCAAATTTTTTTCTTGGTTTTTTAATAGCGAACACATTAGGCGATTTGATCATGGAACATGGTTTCTTCTTATAATCGACGGCATTCTTATGGGAATCTATAATTCTTTTCAAAGTGCAATCTAAATTTTTTGATTCATTCATTAAGTTGATAGGATGAATTGGCGAATTTATTGAATTAACTTCTTCTTCGTTTTCTAAATTTACAATTCGTTTTAAAGTTTCATTAAAATTGTTCATATGCATGGAACAATCTAATTCAAAATTAAATTCAGGTTCTAATTCGAATTTAGACTTTAAATCAAATTTATATTCTAAATCTATTTGAGGTTCCAAATTGAATTCATATTCAAAATCATTCGTTTTATGATCTGTATTTTGGTTTTCCGGAAAACTAATATTCATTGCTTGTGATTTATTACAAATTTTTTCTGACATACTTTCATCCTCAACTTCACTGGGAAAATCTTCGGGAGTGAGTTCATTGAACATTCTCAAAAGTGAGCCATTTAAAATTCGATTTAATCGATGAGCTTCCAGGTCCAATTGGGAACTATTTATTTTACAATCATTATCGGATTTAATTTGTTCACTGTCAATGACATCGATACTTTTTTTCTTTCGTTTTGGAGTAATAGTCAATGCATCGAAAGAATCTTCAAGTGTTTGCATATTCACTTTGACAAATTCATCAATTTTTCTGTTATTTGCAACTTCGGTTGTTTTCGGTTTTCTCGGTCGCCTTTGTGCTTTTTTCTTCACTTCAGTTTTCTCCCCTGTTTCATCTTCAGTCACTTTAGCTTTCTTTCCTCTAGGTTTTTTTGGAGGTTTCTTTTTTTTCGCCAATTTTGCATTTTCAAATTCTTCAACTAAAAGTGGATAACATTTTTGAAATAAATGCTGCGGTTCCAAAGTTGCAAGTTCTGCGGGTGTTGCTTCTGGTTGAGGATCTTCAGTATCATTTTCCTTATCAGAAGTACAAGCCAACGTCATTCCTTTAAAAATGCCCTCCTTGTCCTCCCACACAATTTCATAACTCGCTATTCCCTTAATATTACGTGGTTTCTTTATTTTTTCTGGTATTAATAAATTCCGCATTGTTAAACGTCTTTCGTCGGGTATTTCTGCAATATTTCGTACCTGCCAACGCGTCAATAATGGTAATATTTTCGCATAGGCGTATTCTGGTTCCCATAGTACATACATTTCCATAAAAGTCTGTAATTACAAAATTAAATTTTGTTAACTCAAATATTTAATGTAAAGGGCATTAAAAAAAATAAGGATAACTAACAAAATTATAATTAAAATTGGTTCTGAATTAAAGGAGAAAAATTAACTTACAACAAATTTAGAAACATCCGGTATTTTCCATTTTAGATCTAAGTTTGAAGGAACTGAATCTTTATGAAGCAAAAATTCATTAATCAATTCTTCATTCGGGAAATTGTCTACAAGAAGAGTTTTCTTTCTTATACTGAGTTCATTCGATATTAAAATTCTTTTTTCTCTGAAAATAAAAATAATATTTAAAACTAATTTTCATAAAATATCCAATAAATTGCAAATAAATTTTAAAAAATATATTTACTTATAACTATCATTGCATTTTGTTAAAGTTCCACAATCGCCACATCCAGACTTAATATGTGATCTCATTTTTCCATTATGTCCACATGTTGTGCAAATATTAGGATTTGACAATTCACTTTCCATTCTCGTAAAAGTAGAATCAGTTTTCCAACTCTTCATTCTGCGAATAAAAAAAAAATAAAAATAATGAAATCAGAAAAAATTTTTAATTAAATCATTCAATTATTACGGTATCACATAATATACCTTTCTATTACATTAATTTCATTGACAACTTTAAACAATTTAAGAGCGGCTTCTTTGCCAACTCCATTTACACCATCATCGTAATCACAACCACAAAGTAGAGCCAAGGCTATCATTTTATTTCTTCCTAGATTAAAAAGTCGTTCGATTTTTTCGATAGTATACTCGTCAATAGAACCACCTGTTGTTCCACGATTTCCTTGAGCACTTGTGCAAAAATTTCTATAGACAACTTTTGCTCCATAAAGAAAACAATCGCTGTCTTGGCTAATACATCCATCTACAAGCTTTAATTAAAAATTAATTATTTTTTGAGTCACAAATATGAGTAAATAATGATAAAAAAAAATATATTTATTTTACCCCTTCTGCATTTAATAAAGCACATAATGCTTCAGCTTCGCCTTGTCCACGAATACATGATATTCCCATATATTTAAGCATTTTTTCACATTCCTTGAGAATTTTATTAAAATTACTTCGTCCACCTTTTCTGTTAGTTTTCTTTTGTGTTGGACCATTTCGAACTTCATTTCTTTTTGCTATTGTTTTATGTTTCAAACTTGGCGCTGTTCCTTCTAATACAAATACCGGATATATTTCATTCATAAGCAAATAAGCAGTTCGGAAAAAGAGATTCCTGTTTCATACAAAAGAAAACAATTTTTGTAATAAAATTTTATATGTACATATTATATTTAACAAAAAAAAATTATTTGTCTTCTAAATGCATTCACCTTTCTTCAAAAAATAATAATAGAATTATTTACAATCATTGTAATTAATTTTTTTTAACTAAAAGTTTAATGATTTACGTGAAAAAGAGAACCAGTAAAAAATTTAAAGCGATGAATTTCAAAAATAAAAACATTTAATGCTTTTCAACTGAATGTAACTAAAAAAATTTTACACATGAAAAAGTACAATATTATTTTTTTATAAAAAGGTCAAAATACAATTTCAAATTATAAACAGTATCAGTAGGTAAATAAAAACGATAAAAAATCAACTATATATACAAACTTTAAAGAAAGGTTATGTTAGTTAAATGCCGGTTTTATGTGCAAATTTTTCTAAGTTAACTATTTAATTTTAATACATTTAAAAAGATATAATAATTTAAGGTTTTTTTTAACAGAAAAGTTATAAAAAATTAACTTACCGAAGATGCATTTTTGGTTGAATAACATTGTCAACAATAGATTGGGAATCAACAACCCAACCACTTAAATCAATGGCAATTACTTTTCCTTGAAGTTCATATAATGGCTTTCTCTCACAAGATGGTGAAATAATATTCCACAAGTCTTTTACACCCATATTGTATTTTTTATATTGTTTAAATCCTTTTTATACTACAAATACCATTTTTAAACTGTTTTGTTTAAGGCCTAAGCAGAATAGATTCTTGAACGGGAACGCAATCGTAAACGGAAACGTAAGAATGTGTAAGAGAAGGATAGCAAATATCTTTATTCTTCTCTCACCCATTCTTACGTTTCCGTTCACGATTGCGTTCCCGTTCAAGAATCTATTCTGCTTAGGCCTTAACTAACGAACGTCACGACACTAAAGCCTCTAAAGGTTTAATTAAAAACTACATTTTAAAATCCTGTTTTATCGACAGTGAGGATAACATAACCTAAAAACATTTCGTCAGCGGTTCCCATAAGGTAATTTTAACACATGCCTACGTGGAACAGTGGAAGTTAACTGGCATATATATATATTTGTGTGGAAAAGTAATTTCACTTTCTGTCAATTAGTGTAATGGCTTTGTTGATATTTCTGTTGTGTCAATATTGATTTTGAACAATGAGTGACACGATTCGAAAAGTGAAAAATCCACTGCTTTCTGCAGCAGGACAAGGAAATCCTTTTGATAATTTTGGGGAAAATACATTACTTATGCCAGTAACGCCCACAACACCAGCTGTTTTGAGTGATGGTGAGATTTTAAATATATTTTTTATTGTGAATATAAATTTTTATAAGTTTACTATTTATTATTATGAAAAAATGAAATTCTATTATCAGAATCAAAGATATTTATCATTGTCAGAAGATAAAAGATTTTCTACGTCAATTGCGCAAAACAAACAGATGGAAAATAAATCTGTCGGTACTGCAGCTTTAATGGCATTTAAAATTTAAATCCTATATCCAATTTAAAAAAAGGATTAAGCATATTTTTATACTAAGATGTCATAAAATTTGTTTTGTGTTTTATTATTTGCATAAAGAATTTTGTTTAAAACAAGTGAATAACCATTTTTATGTTATGTAATTTGGGTTCATTTATACTATATATGTATATGTGCCATTCCAGGAGTTTTTTAGCACTTTTCGGAGTAACCTTTCCAAATTAAATGAAACATTTTTTTAATAATATTTATTAATATAAAGGTCCAAGAAAATCACTTTTTAAGTAAAAACAATTGTTTATTTAAAAAATACAACAATAAATAATGCAAAAAATTCACTTTTTTCCTGCAACTCCAAATAAATTGGTTTAAAGATCAAAATTTTCCTTATCTTTCAAGCTTTAATACCGCACAAGAGACATAGAGTCCGAGAAAATATTCAACTCACAATTTTTTAAACAATGTTTGTTTACTTTTTTGTATTTTATTTACTGTGAAACGTCTGCTAAAGCTGCGCGCGACGTTTGGAAGTTGTCGCTTTCCTTATTGAGCAGAAGCTCATTACACTAGCGTAGTAGAAAGCATGTTGTGCGAAAAGTGAGGTTATGTTGTCATTAAATGAAACGTAAAAATTTCTGGTTATCACATTGAATGGTTTTTAATTATCTACTTTGCAGTAAAAAATCATAAAAAACATTTTTGAAGGATGAAAAACCTCACTTTCCACACAACATGTTTTTTACTACGCTAGTGTAATGAGCTTCTGCTCAATAAGGAAAGCGACAACTTCCAAACGTCGCGCGCAGCTTTAGCAGACGTTTCACAGTAAATAAAATACAAAAAAGTAAACAAACATTGTTTAAAAAATTGTGTGTTGAATATTTTCTCGGACTCAATGTTTCTTGTGCGGTATTAAAGCTTGAAAAATAAGGAAAATTTTGATCTTTAAACCAATTTATTTGGAGTTGCAGGAAAAAAGTGAATTTTTTGCATTATTTATTGTTGTATTTTTTAAATAAACAATTATTTTTACTTAAAAAGTGATTTTTTTGGACCTTTATATTAATAAATATTATTAAAAAAATGTTTCATTTAATTTGGAAAGGTTACTCCGAAAAGTGCTAAAAAACTCCTGGAATGGCACATATACAAACATTGGATATAAATATTTTATTAAATATTTTACATAATAATATATTTAACATATATATAAATTATATTTTTTTATGAGATTGAGATTTAATATTTTGTTACATGTTTTTGTAAATTACAATAAGTAGAAAATTTAAATTAAAAGATTAAAAAAAAAATTTCTTAATTATTATAATACATTAATGCGAATTCAATGGTTTATATTTTAAACTTTTTATAAAAATGCCAAAGAAAATTTGATGAAGTTATTTCTATATTTACAATCATAATATATAAAAATTAAAATCTTGTTCTTTCTGGCCTTTGTTCAGGAGATCCAGATCCATATCTTTGTGTAAACGGTAAATCACGACTTTTTCTTCTTTTCACACAATACATTATAAGTAGGACAATTAAAATTAATAGCAATATTAAAAACAAAACACCCATTACAATTGCAATAATTTCTCCATCCGACAAGTTGTCCCATTCTGAAAAATATTTTTAAAAATTGTAAAAATATCGATATAAGAGGTCAATAGCGACTAAACGGAATATTTATAAATTGTTTTTTTTTTTACCTGTAACGTCTATTCGTCGATTATTATAATTGCCATACATATCAACAGCAGATATGTCAACTGCTTGATGGCAGCAGGTTGCATAATAAAAAAATGTTACTTGATTGGTTGTTCCACTGACATAATCGGTACGAGCTTCAAGTCCGTATGGAGATGAGGTTACTTGTTTTAGACCTATATCAATTTATATTATATAGGAAAAACATTTAATTTTTTTTCAGTCATTAAATATGTACATAATATAAGATAGGTAATTTGTGCTCATTTAATAGAAAAATGGAAATACCTGAATCCACATCTTGTACAGTTATGTCTACGCTCCAAATACTCTTTGAGCATTTATCTTCTCTCAAATGCCCTCCACAGTTGTTATTAAAGTAATACTTTATTACTGGCCTCGTGTCATCAACCTTCTGAGAATAATTTTCTATTTTATACGTTTACGTCTCATTTTATTGGAAATTTCAATAATAATAATAATTTTTTTTTTCAAATATATAATTTTTTAAAAAAATATATTAATTGAAATTATTATTTTGTTGCAGCTGTTGGTGGTTGAAATTTAATTAAATTATAACTTACTCGAAGATTTGAATTTTGTATGTAGAAATTTGCTGTTTTCTGTATCGTTTTTGGTTGCGAACCTTGAACGAGAACACTAAGTGTTACAGAATGAACATTGCCTGATATTCCTTGTGGCGATAATATTTCTACTGTAACTGATATCAGTTGTCCTGGACTCACTACGTGGCAATATGCGTTTGGTAGAGGTGGACTTGAAAAAGAAAAGAAATTTGAAAATTAATAATTTGCATAGACTTGAAAAATCATAGGTATAAAAGTTTGTACAAATAGTTAAAAAAAATTTGTTTTTTAAATTACTTTGAGATATATAATCTTGTTTTGAAGCGTGGTGAAATTGCTCCATAACATAATACTGTTTCTGTGATAAGATTATTTCTCACATCGAAAATTATTCTAAATATTCTTTCACCTGGTCTTATTATTAAATTAGTATCTGAATTAACGTCGACAGTTACAACTTTCTTTTGAAAAAAACTATCACTTGCGTCTCTTGTGAGATCTTCAAGTTCCAAGGATTCATGATTAATTCGATCTTCTATTTGTGGAACAACTAATATCTTTTTAAATTTATTATTGTTATTATTCTTGGTTTCTTCATTGGTGAATTGTGTTTCTGGAAATACAATTCTTGAATCTAAATTTGTCGATTGTGTTAAATCTCTCAGGCTATCGTCTTTTGAATCTATGTAGATAAATTTTTGTTGCTTCAATATATTTGAAATATTCATCCATTTCTGAAAGATGATAAAATTTTTAATTATAGTTTAAAATTTTTATATATATATATATATATATATATATTATGTTACCTCTTTTTCTTCGTCTGATGTTTTAAAATGACGAGTTTCTTCATCATTGTCATTAATATCAATTGATCTTGAAGAAAATTTAATTGAAGATTCATTATCAGTTCTCATTTTATCATCTGTATTGTATGTAATTGGTTTTTCGACTATTTCCTGCAAAAGATTTTTTTTGTTTTGTTTCAGCAAAATTAAATAAATTTTATAAAAATTTTTTTTAATTATATTATTAGATGAATTGACATTTTATAGTTATCTGCGAAGTTTTTGATTCGATCATCAGATAAAATTATATATAATTAAAAAGAAACTATTTCTATTTCTATATTTTCAAAGCAAATGTAAAATTGTTGTTGTTTTTTAAAGAACGTCACGTTTTGTTTACCTCGACATATCTGCTTTCTGCAACAATTTCTTCTTCTTCTTCTTTGAACTCTGAAAATATAAGAAATGAATGATTATTTTTCCCTTTATTAATTTTGTTTAATTATATCTACAATGTGGTGAAACTTATACAATTTTCAACGAAAAGATTTCATAGAGTTGAGTGCCTTAGAGTATTTTTTTCCTATTTGTTAAAAAATGGGGAAATGTTTTTTTTTTTTTGCAAATAATTTCTTCTAACAACATCAGAAATGAATGCATTGCATATAGTATACGTCAGCTTTAGCGTGCATAACAGTGGCCAAAGGGCAATACTACTTCGCATAACAAAACGAGTTTGTAGGCTTAGTGCCAAGAGTAATAGCAGTTTCTTGTCGGATTTAGCACTATCAAGTGTACAGTTCCCGCGCTTCGAATAATCAACAAAGTTAATGTTTCCGATATAATAATAAAAAAAAATATATATATATATCTCGTGTCTTACGCGTGTATGTGAAGTTAAAGCAAAAAACTTGAAAACAATTCTTTTAATCATCATTCAGTTAATTTTCAAAATGGATAACAATAGAGTGTAAAGTTTTCTTTATTTTCTTTAAAAAATGATTAAAACGCAATTTGTAGAGCTTCTGTTTTTTTAAGTAGCATGACTATTGACCTTGAAATTATAGTGTTTAAAAAAAATATTTTGCCTTTCAGATAAATTTTTTTTTACTTATGAAATTAAATATTTGTTATTTATGAAATAATAATTGTTTAAAAATGTAGATATTTTAGAAATCAGTTATTTTAAAAAATAATTTTCCTAAAAAGTAAGTTACTTTGAAAAATTTTTTTTTTCCAACGAAGCTGAAGTAAGTATGCAACGTTTATGAGAAACGATTTTTAAAGAATTTAATTTTTTTAAATGAAAAATTCTATAATTTTTCGTCAAAAAAATATTTCTTGTAATTAGTTTTCATTAATCAATAAATTATAAAAAAAAATATTTTTTAGGCAAAAAATTATAGAATTTTTCATTTAAAAAAATTAAATTCTTTAAAAATCGTTTATCATAAACGTTGCATACTTCAGCTTCATTTTTTCCAAAAGTAAATTCTTATTTTAAGAAATTATTTCTTCAAACTCATTAATATTACCTTTATTATATTAAGACTTTTTTTATTTGGTTATTTAACAATAGTGTTAGTGTAATTAATTTTATTAATAATACATAAAATAAATTCAGTTAATTCTGGTTAAGTTGGACTTGAATAAAATTCAATTCTCTCTCACTGAAGTTCTCGCAATAAATTTTTTTTTACATAGGTATAAATTAATAATATAAGATTTGTTCGTTGAGATCTCATTTAACCAGGTTTAACTGTATTTAATAATATAATAAATTATAAAACAAAATTAATAATAATCTCACCGTTTGTTGAATTTTCATTGTTTTTAAAATAATTCTTTTCTTCTGTCTTAGAATCATTAAATATCGTGGCTATAAAACGATAATTTGAACTTTCACCTGGTTTGAGTTTAAGACACCACTCACCCAATGGAGGGTTGCGCACATTCAATTGCAACCCCTTAGTTTGTGTCATGCGCTTTAAAGAACTCATCAAATCCGATATTTTTCCATTTTCATTCCATTGCAACAGTCTTTCTTGATGAACTGCAAAGAAAATTCTTTTTATTACAACAATACATAAATAATTCTCTTTGTTATTCACAAAAATAGTCATTAATTTTATTTATAACATATATGTCATTAAATTGTTTTTAGTTGTAAAAAAAAAAGTTACCAAGGGGGTTATATTCATATCTATATATATGATTGTGGATGACGTGTCTTACATGTTTTCAAGATCACATAGTGCTTTTATTATTATTATTAATAAAATATCAATTGTTGAATATTGTTGTGTATAGAAGTGCCTTTTTGGAATAATTGAGTTTTCATTATATATTTTAAAAAGAGAAGTCTTATAAAAATTATTGACAATTCGAAATTTTCTTCATAGAATTTCAAGGTAGGAAGAGGTATGGACGTAGGAGTGTACATACTTTCTGTATAGTAATAGATGAAAAAAAATGATAATATGTGTTCTCAATTACGTAAGACTTGGGAAGATGACATATCGGGTTTCACTGAGAATTTTTTTTTTTCTTTATTTTCCTTGCATGAGTCAATGGTGTATTCCTTAAATATATGATTTGGATTTAAAAAAGATTGGATACGAATGTTGTCATTATATTTTGTAAAAATTAAAAATCCCTTTGTTTTAGTTTCTTAACATTGTTTGGTGTAGTATTTTAATTATAGAAATAATTTTTAGTTTGTTACAAAATTTTAATGCGAAGTTAATAGAAAATTGAATATATAATTTTGGATCTTTTCTTTATATAGAAAAAGTATAGAATAAATTTTGGAAAGAAAGTTTTGTTTCTCATATCCGTTGTTATTATTTTTGACACATATTGTTATAGTTAGAAATTTAATAGAAAGTTCAAAGCTTTTGTTTCCATTTTTCAAAAATGAATTCATTTTCGAAAAGAATTTATGAATCTGTTGAATATCAATCAGGCAAATCTTTCTGAAAACTATGAATAATTCTATTCATGTACATAGTTTTCATAGTTTATATTTTCATTGGAACAGGTGTGATTGCATTGAGGTTACTTAAGAAATGGACTTTGGTTTATTATATGTTAACATTAATTTGTTTCTATCTAATCAACATTGGTTCTGAACATCGTCGAGAAATATTAACTTTTATTATTATTTAAAAGAAGATAAGTCATCTTGTAATTTTGATAGTCGAGATTTTTTTTTTTTTTTTTAATATTTTATATTGTATGACTAATATTTACTTAGTTGCAACAGTTGTAGAAAGTCTATAATAGTTTAATGATTTTATTTCAAATAGTTATCTTTAAACATTAATTCACTTATATGTTTAACAAACAAAAAACTTACAATTTACAATTTTTTAATTCAGAAAATCGAAAAAATGAATGGACCCACTTCAGCATTTGCTAGTTTCTAGATTTAAATATATCTAGATATAAGTGCAGTCGATAGATTTATTTTTAGAAACAACCTATTTTGCGTATGTATTCAATGAGAGAAAATTGCTACAAAGACACACGGTTAGATTATATTTTTTCATTTTTTGAAAAAAAAACTTTATGACTAAATAAATAATATTTCTTTGAAATATTTTTTTGGGTTTAATTTTTTTTGGAAAAAAATTATTTTAAATAAATTGATTAAAATAATGTTGAATTATATAAATAATAATTGAATTACCTGGAATTTGTAGATCGAGTTTTGATAGATTTCCCAAAATAATTATGTTAAGATTGTCTACAGAATTTTTTACATAAAATTTTTTTTCTATTGATTTCGTTAAATTTTCTTCTTCAACGAGTATTTCCTGAAACAATAAAAGAATTTAGATCGAGTAATTTAGGTATACAATTTAAAAATTTTTTTTTTTTACTTTTGCAATAATTAAACATTAAAAATAAAGAATTAAAACAACAATTTTTTATGGAACTCTGGACAAAGAAAATAGTTAAAAAAATTGCATAATAAATTTAAAAAATAACAGTTCACAGTGAGGTGACATTGACTCCTTAAATAATATAAACAAACTTTGATTACTTGTGATAGTGATTGTGAAATAATTCTAAACAATTTGCGAATCTCTGCGTCATTTCTTTGACCGTATTAAAAATAACAAGAGAATTCTGTTTCTTGCATAATTTTATAAGAAATCAATAATATTGTCATTTAGTTTGTGTTATATTATATCAACTTTAGATTTTTTAATCAAATAATCAATTTATTTTCTATTTAATCGTTTTTTGATTTTCTATTTTTTAATTTAAAAATTTCTAAAATTAATCAATGAAAATCAATTAAAATTGAAAATAAATTAAAATGTATTGTAAGTATTTTTAATTGAAAATTCGGGATTTATTAAACTTACATAAAATTTGTGCAATTGTCCTGAAATGTTTGTGAAATTTTTAAAATTCAGATTTGTGTCGTTGATGAATTTCATCTCCTCCGTTAAATTTTCTTTATCATTTGGTATATTACAATGAACAACAAAATAGATCTGTAAAAAATATAATTTTAGATGATATTGATTCTGTTTTATATTTTTACATTTAAAAAAAATTCTATTTTTTACCTCGTCTTTTATTTCCGCCGGAATTGTAGTTCTAGAGAGAAAAGTGCTTTTGTTGTTGATAGGAATTGAGACAGTAACTAAAAAAATGCAATATTTTTCATTTTTATATATTATTTTGTAGTAAAATTTGAATTACATTATTATTTTTTTTTTTTTTTATAAATTTTTGAACCAATTTTATGGAAATTAAAATCTTTGGTAATTTAATGTACATGTTAGAATATCTGCAGTAATGATACATAATAATAAAATAATAATAGAGAATATTTTAAAATTATATTTCGTATATATTTTATATTATAATATGTATATGATATTCAGAGAGTGTGAAAATTTACTCTGCATTACTAAAAACGTTTTTTTTTGTTTTTTATTATTCACTTATGAATTGATTCATGATCTAATATTAGATGAACGATGAACCTCACACAATGTGAATAAAAAAGTTAATCGATATTGGAAAAGATGATTAATAAACAAAAAACTTGTTGATAACAATATAAAACCAATACTATGATCATCTTAACAATACATAAAATTTATAAATATTTAAATTTTTAATTGTAAAATTTTAATCAACGGAACTACTCAAATTTGTGTAAAATATATAAAACTTTTAAAAAATTAAACATTAATATTTTTAAATTAAGAATTATTATTAAAGTGAAAAAATTATTTTTAAATTTAAATAACATTAAAAATTAAAGAAAATTAAAATTAAATATGATAGACATTTTTTATAACATTTTTCAAAAAAATGTAATGATTATTAACGTCAATTTGTATTAAAATAAAAATTTTATATGAATGACGCTTATCAATTTGTATATTAAAAATAATACGCATGATACTAGAACATTTAAACTTTATTTTTTTGTTTTGTTGAACTTGTGCAATTTGCAATATATTTGTCTTAACTACAGCTATCAGACTTATTAATAATATACTTGAATCATTATTATTCTCTTAGCAAAATGTTTATTTTATAGTTAGGAAGTGATTTATGATCATAAATGATACACTTCTTCTCTTTCAAGGAAATTCGATAATCGTATTATTTCATTCATTGATAAACATTCATTATTAAACCGTATCCTTCTTTTTTTTTTTATTGTCACCTGTTGCATTTTCTTCATTAGTAAATGTCCACACAAAATCCATAAAACGATTGTTTCCTTCTTCTAAAACTTTTGCAGTTTTTTTCTCGATATTGTACCTTCATTAAAAAAAAAATCAATTTTGTAATACCTTTATTTTGAATTGAGGTTCATTTGCAAAAACAACAAAAAAAAACATAGTTTTTTGAAAATTAGACAAAAAATTATAATCACATTAATAATGGAATATAAAAATTTATAAACAATAAAAAAATGATACAATGAATAATTAAACAATAAAAATTTAAATTTTATAAAAATAATCAAACCTCGAACATTTCATTTTTCCCAAGAAAAATTCTTGGGAATTAGTATCAAAATTTTCATCAACTGATTGATCAATTTTTCTTATTAACTTTTTAAGCGGTGCATTTTGCTCAATTTTGTTATTTAAATATCTTCTAAATTTCCTATAATCCAAATCATTAATCGAGGAATTCCATCCCTGAATAATACACAATTGCACTGAAAAAATGAGAAGAAACAAATTCACTATTCGCACGAACATCGCGACTATCCAAAAAAATGTAAGAAACTGACTAGTTATTAGTTATCAGCTCCTATTTATAAAGTCCATAGTTGAGTTGACAAAAGACAGTTCGTGTTACATTGCGATTCTTTGACGTAAAAGTAAACCTGGGTGTCGACGAATTGCATTGCACAATTGGTCTTTTTTTTTATTTCTTTGTGTAGTTACGTGTACCAGATTGTAATGTGTAAGTTTGACATAAGACAAGCATCAAAAGAAAAGGAGAAGAAGAAGGGAAACAATATTCTATAAAAGGTGCTTGTTATCTCATCCTGTTATGATTGTTGTCGAAAGTAGTTGAAATTTTCTCTCTGGATGTGCCTTTTTATCAGATCAATGTCGGTTCCAATATATGTAGCCATAGAACATCCGGTTCAATATTGACACCTTGATGAAAGATTCTTTAAGAATTTAGGTTACAGCCGAATTGCTTAAGATTTTTTTTTCTTTTTTTGGAAAATGCGCTTTTGTTTTATTTTTTTTAAATTATACACTATAGAAATATGAAAAGTCTTATCTTTTTATTATTTCATGCGTTTAATTTGATCAGTAAACTGGTTTTGTTTATAATTTTATTTATTTTGTTTTCATTGTATATTTTAATAATTTTAATTTAAATAAAGAGAATTATTTTAACGTTCTATTTTCATTATTTACAGATTTAGTACCAGAAGCACCTTCTGGAACAAATTTAACTAATCCATTACCGGCAACGATAAATACAACAGTGGATTATTCATCTGGGAATACATCTTCTTTTCCAGAAGTACAAAAAACATCAACACCCCAGGGACAAAAACAAAGTTATTTTACTTCTATTTTGTCATCACTGCCAAATTTATCGTTGTCCTCAATTACGGGAGATAATAATAAACAGGATCATCATCAAGAAGTTGAACAAGTTACACAACATGTGGATCCTTATGGACAAAATCCTTATGGTCCTCTTGCTGGATCAACAAATTTTGTAGCTACAAATCCATACGATTCTCGTTTGCCGACATTCGAATCAAATCCTGTTGCTCCTCAACAATTGCCACCACCTGCGACACTCCCTCCAAGTGGTGGTGAGTATAAAAATTATTCCTGCTTCTTTAATTGTATACAGTATTCACTAAAATTGCCAAATTAAAAAAAAATTTAATAAATAAAATTAATGTTTAATTTAATATTTTTTTTAGGCGCAGGATCGTATCGACTTGGCAGTCAAAAACGATTGAAATACGCACCACCTCCAGATTTAACATCGAATACATCAAAACAATATCCCGTGCCATCGGCTCCAGTTTTTTCACCGCAATTAAACACTCCACCCCCTCAATTTTTCAATCCAAACGCATCTCTTTCAAATGAAATTTTAAATTCCCCATCATCGCAAATTAGCACAAGTGCTTCTTCGAATCAAGAAATTGCCATTCAAAGTCCTTTCAGTAATAGTCCCTCTGTAACACCCATTAATCCCGCGAGTTTTCAAACTTCAATTATTAAAAATCCACCAATTTATTCTTCAAACGCTCCGCCGAAAATTGGTGTATTTTCTTCAGCACCTGAAGCAATTCCTGCACGAATTCCTGAACCTCTAACGCCACAGAATACACCCGCAGGTACTAGTTTTTCCGGTTTTGTCGCCTATGATAAACAATCGCCGTTCGTTTATTCCGGAAGTGAGATCACTTATTCTTCACCTACTGCTTTCAATACCATAAACATTGAACAGAAAAAAGATTTCTCTTTTAATTCTGAAATTCAACAAAATTCTTCTGTCACTGTAAATGATGATAAAACATTCACTCCAATTTCTGCTGCGAAAGTCACTGAAAAATTGGAGCATTTAATAGCTGAGCAAAAAGAGGAATTATCCACGCAAAAATCAAGTGATTTATCATCAGAAGTTTCTGAGATTACATCAAGAATTTTATTGGAAGATAAATTAACCGATTGTAAAAGAGATTTTACAAATTTGACGAGTAACTTTGATCAAAGTGGTAAATCATCAGAGATTCTTACGGAAATTGATTTAAACGCACCAATTTCGGAAGTTTCTCTTCAAGGACCTGAACAAAGTTTTAGCAAAGATTCAGTAACGAATTTATCAACGGCTAGCTTTTTCTTGGATAATGATCAACATCATTCAACGTTGAATCAATTACCTGTTGATAATTCAAATCTCTATAATCCTTTAGCTTATTCGAATCAAGTTTCTTCACAATTAAACAGTGTTGATCAAAATCTTTATACTGGGAATTCTTCAATTTTGTCCAGCGTTTCGAATGATCCACTTGAACAGGTGCCTCATTCAAGCTGTAATGTAAATCAAAATTCACAGCATACTGTTCTAAATCCAATTTACGGAGGTTCTGCTCATACAGCTCCCACATTTTATAATCCAAATCAATTTACAAATCAATTCAATCAAACAGTGAATGATCCCTTTGCCAGTTTATCGTTTCCTCAATATAATGCCAAGAGTTTGAATGATAATAAAACTCATGTTGATGTCACTTGTGGACATTCGTTTTCGTCATCAATCAGTAATCTTCCACAATCGACAGGAACAGCGACACTCAATCCCATTCAAACATCAGTGAATCCTATGAGTCGAGTGACGCAAGGCACTGTGCCACCGAGTCTAGAAAATTTGGTGAGTCATAAATTTTATTATCAATAGATATATTATGTGAATCTTATGATGAGAAATTTTTATTTATAATATTCGTCACCAAATAGTAGAGATGATTTATTGGTGAAAAGAATTTCTTTTAGACTTTTTTTCATTCAAAATTTTTTTTTTAAATCTATCATTGATTGAAATTAACATTAATTGAAGGTTCTAATTTGATATTTTCTTTTATAAAAATTAGTATTGTTTGAAATCACTATTGAAAAATATATCATATTTATTATTATATTATTATTATTTTTTTTGTTATTTTTTTACTCCCAATATTTGTTTTAAAAATAAATAATATGTAATAGAAATGGGTTTTCTAAAAAATGTATTTAAAAAAAATTATTTTGCTTCACACTTATACTTATTTGAATTTGAATTTTTATAAATTTTATGTAATTATATAATTATAAAGTTCATTAAAATTAACAATTTATAAATAAAGTTAACAATTAAAAATTAAAACTATATTCTAATTTCAATTCGAATTAATTTCAATTTCTGATTGTTTCATATAATATTGAAACATAAAAAATTAATAATAATAATATTTATTTTTATTATTGTTATGATATTATATAATATGAGAGAAATAAAATGAAAATATAAATTTTCAGGCTGCTGGACCAACAGAAAAACGAATGCAGTACAGACCAGTATACCACCATTGGTTTTTCCGAAAGGAAGTCGAATCCAAGGTTTTATGGATTCCATTTTCTATGCATGACAGTTTGCATCTAGAGGAAGTACATAATTCAAATGAAATCAGTCCGGAAACTAAGGTAGCAACCGACGGTGGTCGTTACGATGTTGATATTTTGAGACGTGAAAGAACTCCAGTCTATTGGCCAGGTTCAGCAACGGAAGTAAGAAGATGTTCATGGTTTTATAAAGGATCTTCCGAATCGAGATACACGCCTTACGAAGAAAGTGTAGCTGTAAAATTTGAAGAAGAATATAAACAAGCGTGCAATAACAGTTCTTGGAATCGAAAAATTGACTTAAACAATGGAGAGTACATTATTTTTCACAGTCCCACAGTCCAAGTTCATTATTTGGAAACGACCTCACCGGAAATGGCTGTTCCAGTGAGTACATGTTTACTTTCTTTTTTATTATCAATTATTATAATTTTATTATCATATTTTTCCAATTTTTTCTTTATGTTTTAAGTATCATTTAATTTTTAACAAAATATTTAAAAGTTAAATGTTTAAATTGCCTTATCAGTTTATTAAACATATTTAATTCAGAAGATTTAATCAAACAGATATAAGAAGGATTATGTGAAAAGTTACATTCAAGTTTTTTTAAAATTATTTTTGAAATAAGAAGTTATTTATAAAAATGATTCGTATGAGTAATTTCTGATTGAACTTTCCTCTTTGATAAAAGAAACAAAAATTATGATATTAAATTTAAAAAATAATTGAAATGTAAAATTAAAGAGATTAAATATGTAATGAACTGATTAATATTTGCACTTATTTCACATCATTTACGTTAATTTTTTTTCTCTTTTTTTTTCTAATTCTTCATTCATTTTGATGTAACACTCGCACGATTCTGTTCGAATCCTGACCTACTCAGGGTTCAGAGGACAGTACATATTTACAGGGAAGTAATAAGAGGCCCAGGGTCGTGAAAAGAGGAGTCGATGAGTTTCATATCGAGGAAGGTGAGCCAGAAAAAGTGGATCATCTATTATTTTTGGTACATGGAATTGGCAGTGTCTGTGATTTAAAATTCAGATCTGTAGAGGAAGTTGGTAAGTTACTTGATGAAGTAAAAAAATTACGAAATTTTTTTTTTCTTTTTTCTTAAATTTTTTATTTTTTATTTCAACTTTTAATATATTTTTTAACAGTTGATGAATTCCGAAGTATCTCCTTGCAATTAGTTCAATCACATTATCGATCAGCAAGCGATCAGGGTGTAGTAAATAGAATAGAAGTTTTGCCAATATCTTGGCATGCAACATTACATTCAGAGGATACTGGAATCGATAAAAAATTACAGGCAATCACATTAACGAGTATACCAAAACTTCGTCATTTCACAAATGACACGTTACTTGATATTCTCTTCTATACGAGTCCTATTTATTGTCAAACTATCATGAGAGCCGTGGGCAGCGAGTTAAATCGACTGTTCTCTCTGTTTAACGAAAGAAATTCAAATTTCGACGGAAACGTATATTTAGGAGGACATTCACTTGGAAGTTTAATTCTCTTTGATCTTCTTTGTCATCAAAATCCACCTCCAGAGGAGAAACTTGACGATATTAAAGAAGTAAGTAACTTTTAAAGATAGTTTAAAATTAAATTAATTAAAATAAACTGGAAACAAAAATTGTGCCTAAAATATTTCAATTAAAAATTTGTTCGTTAAATTTTGGAATATTCAAAAAAAAATTTTTTTGATAAAATTAAACATTAATATGTAATTTAATATTTGTTAATCTTTGTTTAAATCAGGTAAATCATAGTAAAAAATTTAATTACTCTATTTTGTATTAAGAATTTTCGTTTTGTCGTGCTTTTTTTTAATGAATTACAAATATTCAATTATTGTCTTTTAGGAAACTGAGTGTGCCGGATCCGAAGCAATAGCTACTGTCAAGAAGAATTTGAGCAGAAAAGTGAGTTACGTTATGGGTGCGGCTGGTACCGGACAACCTTATATTCACTATCCACAATTGACATTTCATCCACAAGCCTTTTTTGCTCTCGGAAGTCCAATTGGAATGTTCGTGACTGTCAGAGGTATCGATACACTTGGCGAGGATTTTACTTTGCCAACCTGCCCGGCATTCTTCAACATCTTTCATCCCTTTGATCCTGTTGCCTATAGAGTTGAATCTCTCATCAACCCAGACGCACATAAATATCGACCTAAACTCATACCACATCATAAAGGCAGAAAACGAATGCATCTAGGTTAGTGTAATTAAAAAAAAATTGAATTTATTTTCAAGTATGTTATTTCTTTTATTTTATGATTTAATAAATCTTAAAAATTAGCCAACGCAAAGATTTTTCTACACATTCGACTCAATAATATTCTATGAATTGACTTTTGGAAAATTTTTATACATTTGTTAAAAATTGAAAATTTTGATAATAACTTCAATCATTTGAAGATTAATTGTTTGAAGATAATTTTAACAATTTAATTTAATTTTAATTATTGGAGTGAATAAATGATTATTATTATAGATAATTGGTAACAAATAATTTTGATTAATTTTTCAGAGTTGAAAGAAACAATGGCTCGAGTCGGTGCTGATTTGAAACAAAAGTTTTTGGATTCTGTTAAAAGTACTTGGAACTCGGTCTATCAATTGGCAATGTTTCATAAACCAGATAATCAGACTTTTGAGAAGGAAATCGATAAAGTTGTTGAAGAGCAATTAAATCATTCACCAAGTGAACCTGAGGTGCCAAGCGAGGACGGTGGAGATGATATGAAAGTAGGAAATCTCAATGGTGGTCGAAGAATCGATTATGTACTTCAAGAAGCGCCTTTCGAGTACATAAATGAGTACATATTCGCACTGACGAGTCATGTTTGCTATTGGTTTGTTACTTTTTTTTAAAAATTATATTTCTATTCTCCTTTCTATATAATTAATTTTTAATTAGGTACTTATAAAATTTATTAAAAATAATTTATTTTAAATTTGGTAAAGAAAAAATTATTCTTTAATAATTTTGTTTAAAATCAAATTTGATTTAAAAAAATTGAATAATTTTCGAAATATAATTTTATAAAAATAATATTTTTTTTTTTAGGGAATCAGAAGATACGATGCTGCTGATGCTTAAAGAAATATACGGTTCAATGGGCATTCAGGCAGATGCTCAAATGCCGCAGAATATTACTATTGAAAGAGTTTCCGCTCCATCGACACCGGGACCATCGAATTTGTATCAAAATAATTTAACGTCACCATCTTCCTATTTTGGTGTGGATCCAACTGCGCCTATAAGCAACAAATCCGTCGGTCCTCCACCAATAACGGGTTTTATTCGGAAATCGTGATCGACACCATCTCAATTAATGTATCCGTCGAAAAGTTCAAAACATTCCTAATTGGCTAAGGAAAAAATATGCGGATGACGGAATTCGATAATCAAACGACTACAGAGTAATATATGTATATTGGAAACGAGATAAGTATCATAAGTTAATATTGTGATAATATTGAATTGAGTCATTCAAATATATTCAAAGTGAAACATATATTAAATAGACAATTAAATTAAAAATTTTTATTTGAACTAACCTATATCAATGAAGTGAAATTTTATATAAATAAAAGTGAAAAAATATATAGATACAAACTGAAAAATATAAATATATGAATTAAAGAATATAAATATATATATATATATGATATAGCAATTATAAATTTATGCAATAAAGACACAAATATCAAATTGTGTGCGAGAGAATGGGAAAGTGTGAATTAATAAAAAAGAAAAAAAATTGTACATATTAACAAAAAAATTTTATCTGTACCATGCTTCAATAATATTATGTTTTTTTTTATATATATATATAATTGGCATGTTGTACATAAAATATTTTTTAATAAATCATTGTATTCTTGTAGAAGTCAAAAATTTTGTGTATCCTTTTGATGATGGTGATTTTAAGTAGAAAAATTTGCTAGAATTGATAGCTTGTTTTAGGCTTACTTTCGTGAAAGTGGAATTGATCCGTTTTGCGTTGAGATAAAGAACTTAATGAGCAGCGTTACGTGTCCGCCCGGATCGTCGAACGGGCGTCACCTTATCGCTAGGGGCTACTCTCGCTAGACTTGTTGGAGGGGGAAGGGGGTGCGAGTTAAAAAAAAGGGGGAAAAAATGCTTCGGCACATGCACAAGCAGAGGGTATCACGAAACGCTAATTAATTGCGGTGCAAGCCTCGCCGTTGCTGCTTTGCATTTTGCGTGCGATTCGTAAAACTACGTGGCTGTCAGCTTGAGCGAATTTCATGATGATTTATCGCAACTCACGTTTTTTTTTCTTTTTTTTTTTTTGCTTCATTGCTTTTGTTTCATTCTTTGTTCTTTGTGACTATCTCTTTACTGATTAAAGCCATTTAAATAAATTAGAGGATTACAATATTTTTAATGATTTATTTTTGGATATAGATTTCATTTATTGAGTAGAAATTTAATAAATTTTTTTTTCTATAATTTTTTTTAACAAAAATTCTTTTATCGAATAAAATAAATTATTTTTGACTTATGTGGTTATGACGTGACATTTTTCGCCGGTAAAAAAAAAAATAGAAATGAAAATGACACGTCTTTCCCATCAGGAAATGTGTAAAAGATCTGAAATACAGGATTCTATATCCAATACGGAGAGAGAGAAAGAGAGACAGAGAAGCTCCTGAATAACGAAATGGACATTTACCGCATATCGCATTCCGTTGCTGAAATGTTACGAGATTTTACAACAAGCTTTTGCGAAAAGAGACTTTTACGACAGCCATACTCGCGAATTATTTACAACACCCGCCGTGACCGTCTTGGGGGTATAGACGCCGCGCCACCACCGTCTCTCCTCACTCTCGAATTTCCTTCTCCCATAAATAAAACTCGCCTACAAAAAGCATCTAAATCTTTTCTCTTAAGAATTTAATTTTCCGTCCCGCATAAAATCCTTCACGATTAATTCTCACCGTTCTCGTTCGTGTATAATAACCAATGGCTTATTAGTGACGAATTATAATCTACTATAAAACTGTACCATCTGTTTGTACAGTTTTATAACTTTTTACGACAAAAATGCAAATTACAGTTTTTAAGGAAGCTAATAAATATTACAGTTTTAAGTAGTTTTTAAAAGGAACGATAAATAATATTTCCTGTCAATTTTAAACGACTGAAAAAAAAAATTATAAATGGCTGAAGTTTAGAAAAAAAATGTTTCTTTAAATTTTTTTTTTCCTATTATTTACTTTTTTTTTTGTTCTGCACTATTGTCAGAGAACTTCTATTAATATTAATTGAACTTGGAAGAGATAAATTTTCAAAGAGTTTCTTGCACCTCAAAAGTTCGCTTCGATAAACTTTTACGTTTTATGTTTCTTAAATATAGAAAAGTATTACAATAATTGTAGTTGTTGAATTCTATTTTTACAATTATGATAAAATATAATGAAAAATAAAATTTTCAAAATAAACTATTAAAAATATAATTAAAAATAATATTTCAATAAATATTAATTAATAAAATTAATTACTTGATAATTACAGGTTCACAAAATAATTACATAATTGCAATGAAATTGAAGAGTTCTGTTAAGTAATCCCATTAATGAATAAGAAATAATTAATGAGTTATATATATGTAAATGCGTTAGAATTGATTGATAAAATGGCAAAACTTAATTAAAGCAGTATTTTATTGTTTAATTATGAAAAAATGTTTCTCAGAAGAATTTTCTCGACGCTTTTTAAAATTTCATGAGGGCAATCATTTTTCTCTCTTGATAAGAAATATAATATCTATTATCATAAAATCAATAATAATATTAAAATAGGTTTCTTTTTTTTAGAAAAATTTTAATTATATTTGATACATATTTGTTTTTGTCTATCTTACAAGATTTTCCGTAAATCTTTCAGTATTTTGAAAGTTTTTTCTTATTTTTCGAATTATATTATTATTAGAATAATAATAATTTAAAAAATTCTGTAATTAAAATAAAAAAAAGTTTTTTTTTTTATTTTCTGAATATATATATTTTTTTAATCTTATTTAATGGATATTTTTGTTTTTCACTAGAATAGAATTGCATGCACCACGAGATGATCAGAAGGGAAGCGTTTCGTGCAGCTATCTGCTGCACACACCATATATAGGATGGAGCTTTCTTGTTCTCCGCGTTGATGTCTTCATATCGCGAGACGAGGTGAATTAGTGCTCGTTTCAGAAAAGTTCACCTGACGCTTATGAGTCCAATTTCTTCCTTTAAAGAGAGATAGTCAAACTCTTGTTTTCACAGATTTAATAAAAAAAAAAAAGAAGAAAAAAAACGTCTGATCTATAAATTTTCGGGATTTTTTAAAAACATGATATTCGAATCCAATTATTCATCTTTTTGTCATAAAAATCAAATATAAGTGAAGAAAAAGCTTTTCTTTTATGATTACTTGGATAAAACTTAAAAAAAAAATGCAAAATAACGAGCTCAATTTATAAATTCATTTCAATTTTACAGTTTTTTTTCTTTTCTTTTTTTTTGCTGATATTAATAGAGTTTCATTAAATATTTATTCTTATAAAAGTTTAGTTTTTTTATGAGAGTAATATTTCACGCTATTTAAATGTCATAAAATTCTTAATGGATATTGAGGATATAAATATTTTTTTTAATTTAAATTTTCTTTAAATATAGGTAATAATTTTCATTAAATAATAAACACATTCATTGTTATCTAATTCTTTTTATTTAATTACTCAATCATAATTCGTTACTATAATTGTATTATTTTTAATTTATTAAATTTTTCTATAGGTATGGATATGTTTATTATTTTCTTTATTTCCTTTACAGTTAAAATTCAAACTGTAAATTGTTTTGCGGAAATTTTAATTTTGATCCGAGAAAATAATTCGAAGAGCGATTGTAAATTAAATAAATAAGGAAAAAAATTATTATTATAAAACTATTCGAAGAACCTACATGAATAATTAGAGAATTGTAGGTTGAAAATAATTTTTTTTTTTTGTTTAAACCGGCAAATGAGTCAAGTGTGAAAAGCCGTAATTTCCATAAGAAGAAAAAGGATAATATAAAAGATTAAGAATATGGCTTTTCTACACGTGGGTGAGTGTAATTTATTTTACATTATGATTTGTTGATTTGTGAGAAGCCTGTTATAAATTATATTTCTAGCTTATAGATGAACTCTCGTCATATGAAACTTGAACTGCGTGGGTTTTGAATCTCTCGCGGTTTGATTATGTCATATATAAGAACCTAAACTGTAGGATTTATCAAGGATGCATTATTTAAACCATAATCTGCACCTGAGTTTCAGTATCAATTTCCCACGAGAGTAAATGTATTATTATCATTATTATTATTATAGATACATTGACATCATTTTTCCTTCTTCTATGTCAAAAATAATTTTTTTTAACTTTTATTTCACAAACAAATATATAATTTATCTGGAAAAATAAATAAATAAAATTTTTAATTGTTTTAAGTTTAATTTTTATAAAATACAAAAAAAATTAATTTTAAATATTTAATGTTGGATATATTGTATATATTTAATTCTTCAATAGAATTCTACTTCATTTAAAAATGATAAATATTTAATTAAGTCCAATGAAAATTAACAAAAAAAATTTTTTTTTTATATTCTACATAATATATATATAATTTTATAATTTAATTGTGTTTTAATGAATGTCGTTAAAAAAGCAAAAAGTTATTAGAGAAAATTGCATAAATTTGGAAAATTTAAATATACTGAATATTCATTTACGCAAAATATATCTTAGGATCGATGGATTCTTGAGAGGATTTGCTTTTAATGCTCGCCCTAGTACGAAAAGGATTTATGGGTCACAACCTCTTTCATAGTGAAAAGCCATTCAGAATTATTTACAAAAAAAAAAAAACAGTTAAATTTTACGTAAAATGGAGAAAAAAATTAATAAATTTATTTATACATAAAAAGTAATAAAAAAATATTTTATAATAAGAGAAAAATAGATCAATAGCAATAAATAAATATAAGACAAACGCGAATTATTTTTTATATAAGAAATTATCTACTATATTTATAGTCAAGTTTAATTAGTAAAAAAAAAATTAAAATTACATTTAAATTTCCATTCAAAAAGGAAATACCTTTTTTTAAAATTTTAAATTTATTTCCCCTATAAAATAAAGATTTCTTATTGGTTCCAAATGTTCCGCGTCCTGACGTCATGACCAATGAGGTAGCTTTAAAATCATGGCGGGAAAGTATGGCGCCGATGTTGCTTTATTTGGAAACCAATCAAAATGTCGTTTGTACTACAAGATTCAACATGTATGTATGGAGTATAGGCAAACAGCGTGTTTTTCATTGAGAAAAAAGATATTACTATTATTAATTTTCACAATATTTTGCTGCTCAATGTCTGTTAAAAAGTGTAAGAATCTTTTGATTATTAACAATTTGTTAATGAACAAATATTTTTTACTTAAATGCCATCTCTAAAAGTGTCGTGTAAGTGGAGATTGTATATAGACTTACCGAAGTCTTATTTTCGTCAATTTTTCATAAAATGTGCATAAAAATCATATAAATTTACCTATTTTTCGGCTGAATATGCAGAAAAGAATGAAGATTCAATAAAAAATAGTGTTTTATTCGCTTTGTTTTTATTTTGAGAGCGCCTGATTCAGCGTGATGACTGATCGTATGGCGTGTACACGCGTGCATATCGCCACTTTATGTTGAAAAAAAAGGTATAATTATTACTAATTTTTATAATATTTTGATATTCAGTGGTTCTTAAATAAAAATGCAAATCTTTTGATTAGAAGAAATATATTTAACAATAAATATTTGTAATCTAAATGTCGATATGAAAAATGCCTATAAATTGAGGTTATGTTATTTTGTACGATCTTTTATTTTCATAAATTTTTCTTATAATTTTTATAAAATCATATAAATTTATTGATTTTCGAGATGAATATATAGGAAAGAACTAATATTAAGTGAGGTTTTCGAGTAATTTACTATATTCATCCTGTTTTCATTTTTACAAAATAATCATGTCGTTGTTGGAGACAGTGGCATTTTTTAGCAGTTTTCCATATACTCGTTTTAGAAAAAGGCACGTAATTGTTATTAACTTAACAATATTTTAGTAAACAATATTCTTTAAATTGAGAGCATATTTTTTTGTTTAATAAAAATTTGTCAAGTAACAAATATTCGCAATGTTAAATAATGAAAATTGACGTACGAATTGAGGTTATATTTTATCAGTGGATAGTATTATTTTTTTTATGATAAATTTTTATATATTTCCCATAAACATTTTATTAATTTGGCGAAATTAAAAATAAAAGTATCAGAAAATATTCAGTTTTATAGAAAAAATGTTTTGTTGAAATATTAAAAAGTTAATTTTTTTTTTTGGTTAACGAAATGGTAAAATTATTTTGATTTGATTGACATCTGTTTTGTAGATCTTTATATTTTTAATTAAAAAATTGTATAATTATTGTTCACTTTATAAGAATTTGGCATTTTTATCATTTATCAAAGTTTATTTATTATTATTATTGTTATTTCATCAGATCAAAAATTTTGATTTTTTTTTGGAAAAATAAATATTAATTTAATTTGTGTTTTAGTGATTTGTGTTTGAGGATGGTTCACAAGGAAGATAAACAGCAACAACAGGAGTTAATCTGCAATTGGTAAATGATTAATTAATTTTTAATTATTTCGGTTAACTATAATTTGTTTGTTTTTTTCCTTCTTATTTTCTAAATCTCAGATTTAAATTCAGTGAATTTTTTTTACTAATTCAAATTTGGAGAGTATAAAAATTTTGGCATTTTTGTTTTATGTATTTTGCAATTTTGAAAATTTTTAATATGATTAAAAATAAGAAAATATATGGGCAAATCCACGAAACTTTTAACTTTTGTAATTCCCGAATCGAACACTTAAAAATCTGAATTATTTTTAATTAAAACTTTAGGTATCATTTTTTTTTTGCTAAATTATACACAAAGGAACATTTATGTACAGTATTAGAACAAAATATTTATTTGACAATTAGTTTTATCAGATAAAAAGTGAAAAAAAAAATGCTTAAATTTCATTTGAATTTCTTGAAAAAGTTTATATTCTTAACGTTTTTATTTTTGCGGCTTGTAAAATATCACTTCAGCTACTATGGAAATATTTAGCAGACAGTCAAAAAATTTTCACTATCCCATTAGTGTGACACCACTAAAACTAAAAATACGAAGGTTTGATTGAGTGATAGTACTTTTTAAAAAAATTCAATTAAACGTCTTCTTATGAAAATATCTATTACGGCGTTGGATAAAAATAAAAGTTCAATGCATTTCTTAAAAGGTGATGAAAAAACAAAAATTTTAAGACCTTTTTAATGATGTGCCTCTAATTGTATTCCTGTGGCAACATTTTAAAGATGATAATAAAAATCGTGATTTCATTTAAAGTTATACATTTTTGAAAGGCACAACTGCATTTTTGCTTTAAACAGGTCAATCTATGATGTGATCGAAACATTTTCATACATATATTTGAACACAAAAACGCTGCTTAAGGATTTTGAGTGAAATAAATTTTATTAATTTAAGAATATGCTGAAAACACTTTTTTGGAGTCTTTACCCCCTCTTTTCTCAAAATCCTAATGTGCTAAGCAAATTCGAGTGCCAGAATCATGTTCAGAGGACGAAAATACTTTGAAAACCACTCCGATATCAAAAATAAAAAAAGTTGAATTTTTCAATTCTATATGTAATTTATTAACATTAAAGAGTTTAAAGAGTTAAACATTGACGGCGTGAGCTAAAAATGAATCACGCATATGAATTTGCAGTGCTAAAATGTACTTAAACGTGTATACAAAGTGATATCAATGTGCCTGCAAATTAAAAAAAGAAATTTTTTTTTTTTTAAAGTTAAAAGTTTCGTGAATTTGCACATATATTTAATTTTCTTTGTTTAAAATTTATGCATTTTTAAAAATCAGTTGAATTCTCGGATATAAAAATATCTTGTTTTTAGCACTCGTGCAAATGCATATAATGATAAAATGATAACAAGGGTGGGTGATTCGTCTTCGTTCGCGAGGGTTGCACTGGGACGTAAATAACTTGTATTTCACTCTCAAGATGAAAGTAAATCATTGCGCATAAAAGACTGATGGAGAGATTTTCCTTGAGAATTCATTCTATCTATCTATATATATATATAGTATAGATAAATAAAGCGAGCGCTAAAATAATACGATGAGTGGAGTTTGATTAATTAACTTGTCCATTCGAATAATGAGCGTTTCTCTCGCTTGTCGCAAGTGTTGATGCACTTCCTAGAGAAAATATACATATATATGTATGCATTCGCGGATAATAATGGAAATATTATGATTGTGAATATTAGGGAGAGTCAAAGGAGAGACACGTTTGATTCTATGAGACGAAATATATTCGATATAATATATAGTATACCATTAGCCTGCTCGTTGTTAATCATCCGAAAATATCTGTAATTAAGCTCAAATTGCAATTAATGAGAAGAAAGTTAGTGAACACTTCTCTGGGAAATCCACATTCAATTTACCATAAAACAATGAGTAGTTGGCGCAAATGAATTGTCTGTCTTTTTTTTATTGTCGTGATTCACCATCACAGTGTTGCATAAATAGAGCTATGTTACATAATTAATGATAGCATTAGGACTTTATGCAATATATGGGATTCGAAGTTTTTTAATACAATTTTCTTTTTCATCATTTTATTTATTCATGAAGAATATTTTATCTCGTTTGTCGTTTTTTTTTAATAATCAATTTTTTTTTCAATAATGAATTTAACATTTCCTTTTTACTTGGCTCGTATATTTTCCTGAGACAATCACATTTTTTAATTAAAGAAAGTAATTTTTGTTCCATCTGACATTTGAAAACTAATTTTCATGTTTATAAATGATAATGTGATTTTTCTTTTAAATATTAATTTGAAATGTAAAATTTTCGATATTACAAATAACTAAATGGAAATTTTTTTTTTAATTAATAATTTCTTTATAGGAAATTATTTCAGTTTTTGAATTGTGAAAATTGTTTATAAATGAGTTAAATTTTATTAACATGCTTTAAATATTTTATATTATTTTAGTTATTTTATACATGTATCTCATTAATTAATTTCCTATTCTGATAATGTACAAATTTATTTGTATTTAAGATACACAAAGCTTTCAAAGAGGAACGAATTTATAATTATACATATTCTGATGCTTATCAACTTTTACAGTGTGTAGAACAATTTTTGAAATTATAGAAAAAAAAATGAAAATTTGTTTTCTTTGATATACAAATGGTAAACAATTTGAATTGCAAAATAGTTTCAAATGCTTTTCATGTTAAAATCTCTGAAACAGTTTTACGTGTAGAGAATTTTTAATGAATTATTAAAACGATATACATTGAAAGAAAAAAGGAAGGAGAAATAGTTAGGATTTTTAATAGAAAATTATTTTGAGAAGTAAAGTAGAAAATTTTACTACTTGATAGCAGTAAAATATAAAATCATTGTGTAGTTAAAGAATTTTAATTAGGTTATTAATTTAACATTTTGGGTAAATTATAGAACATGATAAAATAGAAATATAAAATTTTTAAAACATTCATAAAAAAAAAATGAACATATTTTTAAAATATGTGAACGAAGAACAAGGAAAATAAGTATGCAAATAGAATTAGCTTTCTTCGCATTGGAAGTTACTGACAACGATAATGGGTATAGCGGTTTCGAGAATCTGGTGGAAAATTTCAAGTTAAAACCAATGGGAGCTGAAATTTGACGACTCGGAGAATTGAAATTTTCATGTGCTATTTTCAAGGCGTTTTATGATATAATGTGTGTGAAGAGTAAAAATTAAGTGAAATTACATCGAATTAATAGTTTTTTTTCGCCGATTAGCAATTATAATTTATTTTGCAAAGCTAGCTAGTTGCGGGATTTTCCGCCAGTAGTAAAGGACGATGCGGGCAAGACAAGGTAAAGGCAGACTCACCTAAATGAATGCGACACTAAAACATTGACCTATTCAAATAATTCTTATTTATATTTATTGCGCTTTATTCTCAATTTACGATTAATTTTAAATAAATTTTTAAAGTATTAACGAATTTTTATTAATATAAAATTTACCAAAATTTTATTGAGGGTGACTAATATTTATTTATTATTTATTTAATCAATATTTATTTAAATCAAATGTATTTTGTTTATAAAAATATAAACTCTTATCTTGGTCCAAAATGTTCTCACTAAACGCCAGTTGTTGTACTCAAATTAATTCTTCTCACAAAGTAATTAATAATTAATAATTAATTATCAGGATATAATATAGAAATAGTCGTTTCTTTTTTTATTTATTATTAAATTAAACAAATTACATTACACATGTTATTGTCTATTAGACAATTTATTGTTATCAAATTTATTTGCCATTCGAATTCAATTCCAAAAGTTTAGAAACTTTTGTGAAATTATTCAAACTTCAAATTGGGACAGTCACAATTTGCTATGCAAGTTGTATTTGTCCGAGAAACTTGAATGAAACCCGGTAGACATACACACCGTCTTACACAGATCTGTCAACAATAAAGTGATATTAATAAAGTAAAAATTTCAATTGTTTAGTATTCTACTGGTAAATAAAAAGATACAATTCTCAATAAAATATTTTGAACATTCAGAAAAGAGAAATTTTCATAATGAGAAAAAAATTTCTCTTTTAAATAAATTCTCAAATTATTATTAAAACAAAAATAATCCAATAAAAATTTACCAAAGGACATGGTACTGGTTTAGGGTTTTCACAAGTTCTAGGACATAATGAAGCACAATTACTCCAAATTGCATGTGGTTGACACAGTCGAATTGAATCGGGTTGAGCATCTGTCATAGCTAGGAAAATAATTTTTTTTTAAGTTGAAATCAATCTTTTTATATATTATATTAGAATAATAATTATTAATACACTGAAAAAAAATTTATTTGATCAAACATTATCAAATAAATATTTACTTGAATCAAATATTTATACATATTTGATTCAAATAAGAAATATTTGATTCCAGTAAATATTTATTTGATAATAACCAAATACACCGGTATTTGAATCAAATAAATTTTTTTTTCAGTGTATTATGGTCAGTGTATATGTTAGGTTACTTACATGCAACTAGCGTAATAAATAAAGTAGTGATAATTAGTGACATGTTTTATGTAATTTTTAGAAGTTTCAAATGTAACTGACAATTGACGAATTTAAATCCATTTATAAGCAGTATCTGTTTGTTTTCTTTAAATATTTTTTTTAGGAAAAAAACAGGTAAGCAGTTTATTAATATGTGTAGAAAAATAAACGAGGAAAAATCAATTTGTATGTTCAAGATAACAATATAGAGGGGTAATTATAAAAACAGTGTTTCAATCATAAACAAAAATTAAAACTTTCCAATTTTCAAATTATTTCGTTATTTTAATGATTGATCATATTTAAAACATTTATGAATCAAATTATACAATTAAAATTATTATTATCATTTTTTGTCGAGAGTTAGAACACGGGAAAAATTGCCATTGCTCCAATGTAGGATTACACAGAAAAAACCTGGTCTCAAAATGAGTAGCGTACGCAACTCATTTTGAAGTGCAACAAAAATGAGCCAGGTTGGTGGCGCCACTGTCTATGTCGTTTAGAATTGGCTCATTTTGAAATGCAACAAAAATGAGACTAGGTTTTTTCTGTGTTCACCGATCGGTGAGTCGTTTAGTTCAGTTTTTTTTTTATTTATTTTTAAAATAAACAATTACATTACACATCTTATTGTCTATTAGAGAATTTATTGTTATCAAATTTATTCGCCATTCGATTTCAGTTCCAAAAGTCTAGACAATTTTTGTGAAATTATTCAAACTTCAAGTTTGGACAGTCACAATTTGCTATGCAAGTTGTATTTGTCCGAGAAACTTGAATAAAACCCGGAAGACATACACAGCGTCTTATACAGATCTGCCAACAAAATAATAATAATAATAATAATATAGTAAATTATTATAAATTATTTCTAATATTCATGCAAATATTTATCAAACATTTAGAAAAAAAGAAATTTCATACTAGGTGAAAAATTTCTCTTTAAATAAATTTTCAAATTATTTTAAAAACAAAAATAATAGAAATTTAAATTTACCCGAGGACATATGGTTGGCTTTGGTATTTCACAAGTTTTAACACATCCACAAGAAAAACTCCAAATTGCATGTGGTTGACAAAGTCGAATTGAATCGGGTTGAGTATCTATCATAGCTAGGCAAACAAGTTTTTTTTTTAGGTGAAAAATCAATCTTTGTAGTTTTTATAATAGAATAATAATTATTAATATTATGGTCAGCGTATAAGTCAGGTTACTTACATGCAACTAGCGTAATAAATAAAGTAGTGATAATTGGTGACATTTTTTAGGTAATTTTTAGAAGTTTCAAATGTAACTGACAATTGACGAATTTAAATCGATTTATAAGCAGTATCTGTTTGTTTCCTTTAAATATTTTTTTTAGGAAAAAAAAGAAAAGCAGTTTATTAATATGAGTAGAAAAATAAATGAGGAAAAATTTATTGGTATATTCAAGATAACAATATAGAGGGGTTATTATAAAAACAGTGTTTTAACCATAAAAAAAATAAATAAAAATTATTTTGTTATTTTAATGAAAATATTTGAAACATTTATGAATCCAAATTATACAATTAAAATTATTAATTTCATAATAATTATTACCAATTTTTGTCAAGATTTGGTATTATTAATTTTTTTTGTTTTGCTTTTTCATTATTACATATTTGGATGACTAACATTTAAATAATTCGATTAAATTTTTTATTAACGGGATTGTTTCAGTAAAGTAATTAATAGTTAATTGTCATAATCTAATTTAAAAATGAAAAGATGTAAATTAGTTTTTTTAAATAAATTTTTTATTTTTTCAGTGTACACTCCTCTAACAATCTGATGGACAGAAAAGATGTGGATGAAGAAAAGAGGCCCCAGCATATTGTTTTTCAAAAAAGGCAATATGGCTTCCGACCTTCGCAGAAGTGCAATCAAGAGGAAGGGATCTTCGGAAGTGGCCCAGAAGAAAGGGGTAATATAGCCATTGCTCCCACGTGGGATTCACCGATCGGTGAGTCGTTTTGTTTTATTTATTTTTAAAATAAACAATTACATTACACATTTTATTGTCTATTAGACAATTTATTGTTATCAAATTTATTCGCCATTCGATTTTAAGGCCAGGTCCAAGTGAGGCAGCGCCATCTACATTGATACTAAAATTTTGGAAAATTTTCAACAGCTTTTTCTTGAAAACAAGATGGTATAATGCTTTTTCCTTTATGGATAATTGATTATTGGCAAGATATACACCAGCTAAAACTTTTTTTGAGTTAAAATAATAAAAAAAATTTCATGTCAATAAATTAAATATGAGCACTTTTTTCACAAAAACTGTAACAGTACTTTCTCAGAAATTACAATCAAAAATGCAATTTCCATTTGGAAAATTAATAAACGCTAAAAAATACATGACCTAAGATTTACCAATCATGAAAATAACAAAAAAAAATTTTATTAAATAATTAACATATTGATACTGCTTTACTGATTGTGACAGCCCTTTGGTAGATTATGTATTTCAGGTGGTTAGCAACAGCGCCAATCTCCTCCTTTCAGCAAAACTGCGAAACGTCTGGTGACATATATAACCTGCCAAACGGCTGTCATAATGAGTAAAATATGTTATGTTAAAATACTTTTTTTTTGTTATTTTCGTGATTGGTAAATCTTAGGTCGTGTATTTTTTAGCGTTTATTAATTTTCAAAATGGAAATTGCATTTTTGATTGTAATTTCTGAGAAAGTACTGTTTCAGTTTTTGTGAAAAAAGTGCTCATATTTAATTTATTCACATAAAATTTTTTTTATTATTTTAACTCAAAAAAAGTTTTAGCCTCACTTGGACCTGGCCTTAATTCAAAAAATCTCGAAACTTTTGTGAAACTATTCAAACTTCAAATTGGGACAGTCACAATTTGTTATGCAAGTTGTATTAGTCCGAGAAACTTGAATGAAACCCGGAAGACATTGACAACGTCTTGTACAAATCTGTCAACAAAAAAATGATAATAATATAATGAGCCAAAAGTTTTGAACGTTCAAATGAATGAAATTTTTTTTTCAACTTCTTTAAGTACGAATTTTATTACAAAATATTGTTTTAAATATTTACAACGGAAGTTATTAATTTAATATTTGTTTGATTTACTGTTTTATTTTACATTGCCATTATAATTTTTAATAATTTAAAGATTGAAAAAAATATTTCGTTCATTTGAACGTTCAAAATTTTTGGCTCATATATAATATAGTAAAAATATATGAGAAATGTTTTCATATTATAATGGTCAACAAAGAGATACAATTTTCAAAAAATTATTTTCGATATTTATGCAAATATTTTTCGAACATTTAGAAAAGAAAAATTTCATGCTAGGGGAAAAATTTTTTTTTTTAAATAAATTTTTAAATTATTATTAAATCAAAAATAATCCAATTTAATTTTACCCGAGGACATATGAGTGGTTTTGGTATTTCACAAGTTTTAAGACAAAATGAAGCACATAAACTCCAACTTGCATTTGGTTGACATATTCGATCGGGTTGAGCATCTATCATAGCTACGCAAACAAGTTTTTTATTAAGTGCTTTAAAAAATCAACCTATGTGGTTATTATAATTATAACAGAATAATAATAATTATTATTATAAACGTATTCGTCAGGTTACTTACATGCAAATAGTGTAATAAATATAGTAGTGATAATGGCTGACATGTTTTATTTAATTTTTAAAAGTTTCAATTATATAACTGACATTAGACCTTATTTAAATCCATTTATAAGCAGTACCAGTCTGTTTTGTTTAAATATTTTTTTAAAGAAGAAAACAAGTAAGTATTTTATTAAAATACGTAGAAAAATAAACGGGGCAGAGTATATATTGGTATTTTCAAGATAACAAGATAGAGGGGTTATTATAAAAACAGTGTTTTAATCATAAAAAAATAAAAAAAAAAATAATACTTTTCAAATTATTTGGTTATTTTAGTGATATTATTTGAAACATTTATGAATCAAATTATACAATTAAAATTATTAATTTAAAAATTATTATTACTAATTTTTGTCGAGAATTGATATTATTAAATGATTTTTATTTAATTTAATTTTTATTGTTTTTTCATTATTTTCGTTTATTTATTTTTGACGAAGAAACTGTTTTATTGAAGTAAGAAATTCGTGGTAGAGTTCGTTTTTCCTGTAGAAAATGAATGGCGCGTCCATTGTTTATTGAGGAAGGAAAACGATAATAGAAATTTGTTTTGTACATTTAACTTTTTTTCAAATGGGTGTCGACGAGAACGTTTCGAGCGAAACAGACGGGAAGTAGAGGCGCAGTCTCTTCTTCGCCAGAAGGCAAAAGCGAGATTAAACCTCGTAACCTTAGACTTTGCCTTCACCATCAATGTATACATAGATAGTGCAAGTAGTGCAGAGAGAGTATTCTGAGTTTGCGAATAGAATCTGTATTAGTTTTGCGATAGTAGAGATCGTAAAACATTCAATGTGTGCCTATATTTTAAATCAAAACCAACAATGAAGTTCGAACATCTTCACTTTCTAAATTTTACACATTCATTAAATTTTGAAATTTTTTAGATAATCCATTTAATTTTCTTCTAATATGTAGATATATAGTTTCACTGCGCTTGAAAACTATATTTAATTACAGATTATTTTGTTTGTTTGTTTAAATAATATAAAAGCATGGAGCTGGACTAACTTTTTTTTACTGTCCGTTTGATTGTGCCTTTAATATTCTCTTACTTCCGGAAAAAGAGTGAATTATTTATGATGTATTGTTTAGAAGATAATACATTTATTTTAAATAATATTAAAATTTATACTGAAAAAATAATTTATTTGATTCAAATACTCGGTTACTTGATTATTATCAAATAAATATATAGTTGAACCTAATAATTTTTATTTGAATCAAATAAATTGTATTTACACCAATAATTTCTGTATTTGAAACAAATATATGTAAGATTTTATAAGTAGAACATTTGCTATGTTCAAAACAAAAGCAGCCATTTTAGATTTTTAACTGATTTAAAGGTTGGCACTACTGTACACTGAACATGTTACTGCTACTAGACAGCTGTTTAGTAAACCGTACTCTTATATTGGTCCGTCGAAAATTAACAATACTGTTTAGTTACCACAAACGAACCGAGAGTTTTAATCACTATCCATTTCTCTCCGTGTAAGATTGCCATGAAAAATTGCTACAAGATTTTAAGGAAAGATTGCTGCAAACTTAATGCGAATGATTTCGAAAAGATTGCCGTGAAAAATTTCTGCAAGTTTACTATGAAATGTTGCTGGAGAATTGCAGCAAGCTTGTTAAAAGGTTACTGTAAGGTTTCAGGATGCTTGCTGTGATTTCTCAAAAATACTTCTTAAATTTAGATTTGATTTCATAAAATCAATATATCATCATTATATCCTTAAAATACTTTAAATTGTAATATTACTTTTCAAGATAAAATAAATTCTGATGAGGGAATCGGTACCAATTCCGAAACGTTAAAGATGTTCGTTAGTATCTTTTAATTTGTGCTAAAAAATGCCATTAAACCAAAATTGATTATAAAATCAGTTTAGGGTTAAGGGCAAGATTTTTTCTCTGATAGCTGGTTGTTTAGCTTGTCGGTTAGGGTTCTTGGTCAGCGTTCAACAAACCAGGGTTCAATTCCCCAGTTCCCTCAAATTTGTTTCGAAAAATTTCTCGTTAAATTTCCAAGTAAAAATAAGCAGGGCTCAATTAATAAAAATGCAGTAACCTTTCAACAAGCTTGCTGTAATTCTCCTATGCAACATTTCATAGAAAACTTGCAGCTTGGCAAGCTTGCATAGTAAGGTTGTGGCAAGCTTCCGTGCTATTTGGGTTACTTTAATTCAACACACTGAGGTTGTAAATATTTTTATTAAGAAAATAACTATAAATAATATAACTTGAAAATTTCATGAATCTTCTAGATTTCGCGAAATAAAAATTATGATACATTCTTTTTTTCAATAAGAAATAAATTTTGAAAAATAAAAACAATTTAGAAAGTTGATTTTTTGTAATAAATGATTTTTTGAGATATATAGTGGAACATAAAATGTATGTATATATATATATGTGTGTGAGAGATCGCTATGAATTTCGCGTATTGTTGCTGGTCAATTACACGGTAATTAATGTTGCCATACTGCACATACATCCTCGAAGGACCAGGAACATCAGGAGTTTATTGCAAAGATATACGACTTGTCCTACGTGTACGTAACTGAGTGTTCACGTAATCGTAACATTCTCGTGTTAGTGAAACGTTATATGTACGTATGTACTCT